ATCACATTGCATCACATAAAATAACAACTTAGGAAACAAATCTTATTTAGTTGCATTCCAAATTTTCTTCTTTATGAATGTTTTGCAATGCATATGATGACATGTCAAGTTTTAGTTCTGCAGCCGTGACACCAAGAACATGTTTGGGATCAAGTTAAGGTCAATGGAAGAACCTGTCGCTCAGTGTAATGTTCATCACCCTCATCACACAAATGATGATGTGACACTATTGTTCTTGTGACAGTTGGATTTGTCGACGCTTCATTCGACACTACATCACAGTCTCATCACTTGCAACAATGAGACAGTTCTTCATTCGACACTACATCCCACAGTCCATCACTTGCAAGAATGAAGCAGTCGTCATCTTTCACCGTGGGAACGACTGTAACTTCTAGTTTTGGATTGATGAATGGTTTCAAATACCGGTCCCCTGCAACAAGTGTTTCCAAGTTCAGGTTAGCAAAAGGTGATGAAAATTGGACAAATGCTAACTAACACAGTTGAACTGTTGGTTCAACTAAATCTTCTATTGAAATTGGAGGAATAATATTGTCCGAGAGTTTAACACAATGTGTATCTGATTTGGACAAGGAAATGAATGTGATCTCGGATAGAAACAAGCTGTTTAAACCAAATGACTGATGGAGTAAGCACTTTTTGTAATATAAAAACAACTATACGGGCTACTTTGGCAGCCATAGGGAGATTAGCCCTGGGAACTACACAGAGGGGAGGGATTTTTGTGGACAATGCAATTCCCCTCCATCACGTGGGAAGATTTCACGTGTGCGGAAGTTTCCCTGCTGCTATTTGGAAGGCATGTCCCAGGGAAGTTATTAAGTTAAGCACAGACTGGTCAAAGTCTAATTTAGATATCCACCAGGGAAGATATGATACATATATAAAATTCAAAATGCTAAGCCTAATCAGAACAAGCTAATACATCCATCACCACATCATTGTGATGGAAACTGAAATCAAATTAAATTAAACTAACAAAGAAAAGAAAGGTTCAGAGAAGTGGAAACCGAAATCTTTCTGACTGCATGTTCTTGATCTGAAAATGACACAGACTACCTGCAAGCAGAACTGATACAAGGCAAAAACAACTCAAGGATTAAATCAATCCTGATCTTTAGTAGTGAAATTTGATGCACCCAGATAGATTACCAAGTACACGAAAATTCAGTCTGAGGCAGGAACTGAAAACGGAAGTTTCAGAGAAAGCACAGGAACTCTAATAAGCAGCATCTTGTATACTAGACCTTCACAGTGTGAAAATTCCGAGCTAACTGACTGACTCAAACATGGGAACATCAGAGTTGAGAGCAGCTGAACTAACTTGGAACAAGCAGCAACGTCTATTGATCGAGTAATTAAAGCAGGAAATTGCTCCTGACAGACGCTAAATAAACCTCATGCGTGCACAGCATCGCTGATTAAGGCACTGCAGGTTAAATAAATTCAGCATAACAAATAAAGGAGGGGTTCTTTAACCATCAGACAAAACATGATATTCTCGGTATGCTACTACAGGCACATCCAATGAGTAAAAGTCAGGAGCTCGCTTTGGGGAGGAAGGAGGAGAGAAGATGGGCTCACCGGATCTCGGGACGAGGCGAGGCGGCCACACGGCGGTGCTGGAGATCGAGCCGGAGCAGTCTGGTCGAAGGGGGCGATGATGGCGGCGTCGGCGCGGTCTGGTCGGAGGGGCGACGATGGCGGCGGCGGCGCTACAGAACAAGCGATGTCAGGCAGCGCGGCGTGTTTTTTCTCGAGCGAGAGTTGGGAGACGGGGATCGACGCCCGGTATCCTTTAGGCCTCCAGCACGGCAATCCCACCGCCGCCCGAGCTCTGCCACGGCCGAGCCTGCGACGGCCTCCGGCACGGCGACCCCTAGGTGGCCTGGCCCATCTCGGTGGCTTCCGATGGAAGACATGTATAGACTAACGCCGTGTGCGTGTTGACGTTGGTATCCAGGATGGAAGCGGTGGAAGGTTTGCTTTAAGATCGCTGCGCTTACACATGTCACGTAAAGGAACCGGGTCTCTCCGATTTGCAAAAGACCGGGTCTCTCAGAATTTGCCTCCCATTCTCGTAGCCCTTCGTCTAGGAGCCGGAGGCCCATCATTGGTCAGTAGCGGTCACCCGAGAGACCCGCAACAAATCTCTTACGGTAGTGGCAACAACAACGGAGAGAACAACTTTGACTGTGACCTTTGCAGGTCTGAGGTTTTCAATCGACCTCACCCCCAAACCTTCCTCATGTAAGGAATGACTAAGAATCCGTTGAAAACCCCTACAAATTACATATCTAGAAGAAACAAACAATGTTAGGCCAGGATATACGAGGATTTAGAACCACATAGGCCCCGTTCGTTTCGCTGAAAAAACAAGCCGAAACACTGTTCCAGCTGATTTGTTGTGAGAGAAAATATTATTCCGATTAAAAAAACAAGCTGAAGAGTACGGATTATAAGACAAGCGAACATGACCATAATCACAAACATAGAGTAATATATGTCCACAACACTTATGCTATCCTCGAAGGCTCGAAGTCACTTTAACTCCTTTATAGTCTCTGTCATCAACATAAACTAGTTATTATAATAGATAATGAGTACATCTACTACCAAATAAACACAATAAAGAAATCATATAAGATTCAAATAATTTTAAGCTAGAAACCTTAAGATAGAGCATGATTTTAGGAAAAAAAAACTTTGAAAATTTATTTCTATAATTTTTTTATAAAGTCTATACGTCTCCGAACTATAGCCGTGGTATAATTTACATGCCATGTCCGCACATACGATATGATGTCTCATCAGTCAAAACCGTTGTCAAACCTGCAGCTGCAGAGTGTGTAGAATTGGACAGTTTTTAAAAAGATAGGGGAGAAAACAATGATTTTTAGATTGGCTGGGAAATCGGATTTTGGGGAAAATTGGGAGGTCACCCAACCAAACCCAATCATACCATTTGAATGAATGGCCCCGTTCGGCTAGAAGAATTTTGGCTGAAACTGGCTGAAAACACTGTTCTGGATGAATTGTTGTGAGAGAACTGTTCCGACTAAAAAAAAAGCCGAACAAGCCGAATATGAGGGAAGCCAAACGGGGCCAATGGGTGGATCTGTGCCATGAGCAAATAGAGCCCATTGACAGCCCTGCCGCCCTGCGCCAGCTAATCTACCATTCGCGCGTTTTGCTCAAAAAAAAAACATTCGTGCAAGCTGCTTGCCTGATTCTTTAGTTCTGAACATTTGCAGAGCCTGCAGAGCCTAGCCGCGACCCACTGCTCGACTTAGGGCATGTTTGATACTATGATCTAATTATTAGCTAGCTAATTTTGGTTTAAATTAGACATAATATATCTAAATATGAGTGTTAGCTAACTAGCTAGCCAACCATAACTAATTTGAGCTATTTTTAGATAAACCAGTAATAAACCATGTATATTTAACACATGCCCTTACATAATTCCACCCCACCTACTGTACGCCTTTTATGCTTAGCAGTAGTAAGATGGAGTTGTTGGGTCTGTGACGCCGCACCGTATCACGTAGGGGCCGTGATCGAGCATGCGGGCACCTTGGACTCTCTAACCGAAGTTGCTTTGTTGCATGTCCCGCGAGCCCGCCTGCACTGCTCCGTTGTCCAGGCCACACACGCACGTGCTAGGTCATCGCGTCTACCGCACGAAGAGCTACTACTATGGTACCGCGCATCGGTGTTCTCCAGGACAGATATTCTACTCATCCACTCTCTTAACTAATGCTCACGTGTCCGTTTCTATCACTTAATTGATGCGCATGTGTCCGTTTCTATCGCTTAACTGATGCGCACGTGTCCGTTTCTATCGCGACACACGGTTCCTCTTTCTTCCTCCAATGATCGCTTCTTCTTCCTCCGACCGACATCCTAAACTCCCAAACTGCCCTGCCCACCGTCGGTCTCCACCAACGCCCTAACTGCCGCTACCTCACCGCCCTCACCCACCCCCGCTTCTCCTGCCTCGCCCTTCCCTACTCTCAATCAACTATCTCTCCCGCTACCCCGCCGTCGTGGCTGTCAGCGACCTCACCGCCCACCACTCGCTATCGCACCCTGCCCTCCCCTAACCTTGCACTTGGCCGCCCCCGCAGCTAACCCCGCCCACCGGTTGTCTTCCCCTGCCCGCTCGGCAGCGACGTCGCCGCTTCGCTCACCCCGGTTGAATTGTATGGCTGCCCTTCCCCCGAGCTCCCTTCTTAAGGCCGGAGACCTCCCTCCCCTAACAGTAGCCGGAGGAAGAAGAAACGTCGTTGTCGGATGTCGTGCCTGCCTTCAATCCCACATTGACATGTGTCTATGTGTCGGCACCTTCGTGACGCACGCACGCTCAATAAGGATTTAGGGCAAAATGGCATAACTGTTGCCTTCTCAACAGTTGCCGTATGCCTTCTTGTCCCAAGCCAACCTTGGTCTTTAGAACACAGTCATCTGTTAGTTGATCGTGCCGAGTTTAAATTTTCTTCTGTAAATAACACTGACATCTAGTCATCTATTAATTGATGTGTGGACTTTGTCAATTTATTTTGAGGGAGACGAAAATACCCCTGTGGCCGCAGTTACTCGCACGTGCCGCAATCGATGAAAATCTCCGGAGTTACTCGCACGCCTCCTCCGCCTCATCGGCCCTGTTCGCTTCTCTTATAATCCGTCTTTTTCAGCTTATTTTTTCAACCGGAACGGTGTTTTTCTTACGCAACAAATCAGCCAGAATATTGTTTCGCTCGTTTTTTCAGCCAAGCCAACTGGCCGAAGGGCGGAGGAGGCGTCGGCTGGCGGCGGCCAGGCCGGCCCGCGTGCGCCCTCACGCGGACGACGCGGGGCTGGGAGTCTGCGACCGGAGTCGTTGCCGCGGCACGTGGCTGTGGTGATGGACGGGAACTCGCGGTGGGCACGCGCGCGGGCTGCCGTCCGCGGCCGGGCACGAGGCCGGGCGCCGCGCGATGGAGGAGGTGATGCGGTTCTCCCGCGCCTGGGGCGTTCGCGCGCTCACCGCCTTCGTCTTCTCCCACGAGCCACGAGAACCGGAGCCGGCCCAAGGTATGCTTCCCGCCCCCGCGCGTCGTCGCCTTGTTTGCCTCCGACGAGCTTCACCGGCTCCTTTTGCCAATTCGCAGGTGGAAGTGGAATTCTTGATGGGGCAGCTTGAGCGAGCGATCCGCCAAAGCGTAGCTTAACTTTTGAGGTATGTATTTGCGCCGTCAGTTAATAGCCTCACACTTGTCTGTACTCTGTAATGGCATTCCTGATAAGATGCAGTCATGCAGATGCATTCGAAGTTTCTAACACTCTATGGACCTGACAGTAAACCTCACAACCAAGTTGCTAGTAGATACGACGGAATCTTTGCTGTCCTCGATATATTCTGAATTGCTACCCCGTGATGATATGTCATTAGCTTTTGCTCTTCATTTTACAGGGAAGGAATTTGGCTACGTGCCTACGTGTAATCGGCGACTCCTCGAGACTGCCGGTTTTCGTTCTCTTCAGAAGACCGCGAGAGAAGCCGAGGCCACACGGAACAGATCGCAGCTCGACCTGACACTGGCAATCAGGCAGGCGGAGGGACATAGTGCAATCATGCCGGAACCTCGCTCATAAGGTGCACGACAAGCTGCTCAAGCTGGAGGATATCGACGAGAACAAAAACAAAAACAATCTGTTTTAGTGCCAAATAGATAATTCTCTCTATGCATCAGGATATGAGAACAAAAACAAAAATAATCGGTAATTATTTTAGTGTTCATTACAGAAGATCTGGAAGTAAACATGACATTTCTGTACTGTAACAGTTTACTCATTAAGACTGGCATCCCAGAACAAAGTCTTCAGCGTGTAAGTTATCTACAATGGAACTGGTGTGCAGTACAATAAATAATATATGACGAACTAATAATACATGATCAAAGGTAAGCAACACACCAACCACAAAACCATCACTACACACCAGCAGGATAACGCTACTTTCCCCCCTTTTATAATCCTTTACAACACATGTACAGCTTCCCTACCTACAGCAAAACCTTGTGCTACTATGCTTACAGGGCAGGGCCTTCTGCCCTTAGCCCCTAGTATACAAGCCCAAAAAATGGCTACAAAGAGAAAAAATGGCAAGGAAAACCTGAATACAAATATACAATCAACAAACAAATCAATAAAAATCAGAAGCCTATAAGCTCACCTAGCATCTAATCTTTAATGCCTTGCTACCTGGTAAAAAAGAATCAGGCGTACTGTACATCCTAGGCAGGAATCCTGACTTATCCACAGGTGGGTGAAGTCACCATGGTGTGAAAAAAATGACTACTCCCCTCTTTGCAATAAAAACGCAAAGCTTGGGTTTTCATGGACAAAAGGCAGAAAGTCATCATCAGCCACCTCGATGACTGGTAATGTCTTTGTAATATCATCAAGTGAAAAAGGTATACTGCATTAAGGAATGAATGAGGGAAACCATTAAATATCAGTAGTAATATATTTATTTTGAAAATAATGTGGATAGCATTTTTCACACATAACAAACCTGGAATCATCATCTAGCAGTATCGAAAAACTTGTGGCCATATTTGATTCCTCACGTACCACAGATTTCAAGCTTGATGTAAACTATAGATAGATAGGTTGGATTTGTCAGCTGATGTCATTTGGAAAAGAACACAAACCAAATGTGTCTAAAGATCATAAACTATATTAGGGAAACTGACCAACTTACCTCTGCTGAAATAGTGTTTGTACCATTCACATCATCCCAGTACATACTAACTATTCGCTCTAGCTGTTGTATGCTGAGGGCCTAAAGACACAATAAAAATACGAGTATAACCATAAGAGAAAAGATAAGCAGCAGAAGAAACTTGGTCAAGAAAACTACTTACAGGGCACACATCAGTGCGTATCTCTCTTAATGTCCTCATTGGCTTAAGAGAAATCACCTGATAAAAGAGTAGCAGGGATCAACGTATTTATGATTAGAAAATTATCAATTGAAATAATATTAGAAAATTTTATCTAGTACTACCACCAGTCAATTAAGTATGACATTTCAGACAGTATAAATGACTTATTCTCTACCTATTTTTGTGTCTGAAACGTCATAGTCACCTATTTTTGTGTCTGAAATGTCATATTTTAGTGACTGGAGGTAGTACTAAAGTAAGTGTTGCCGCACCAGGAAATCAACAGCTTGTCTAATATGCCTCAATGCCTCCCACGCTGAACCTGCAAACTGTGTGAAACATATAACATATAAGCCAATGGCATTTGGGGACAACCATCGCAAAACAGGTATGTAATCAACCTCTCTTGTAGCATTGTCAGACCAATGTTTTAGTTCAGCTAGTCCAGCTCTGACATATTCCCCGTTACTAAAAGAACAGCACTCACGCCGCAAAAGTAATCTAGTTTCAAAGCAAATATCTTAGAGAAACATTACATATATCAGCACAAGATAACATCATACCAAGGACAAATGTTTACCGGTTAAACAGTTGAACATCAATCAGTGAGAATATTTGAGTGAAAAGTTTATGCACCAGAATTGATGGAACCTGCAAATTTGATAGAGTAAGACATGTGCATTCAGAACTTTTTACTGATGGATGCCACAGGGGACAGGTCAATAATAGTTTAGCACTTACGTGGTTTGCCCTCAGTACATCCAAGTAGCTAGTGAGGATTTTCACTATGCCCAGCCAATGTGTGAGTTGGTTCTGTTGACCCATGCCATTAAGATTGCCTTTTGCGATACTTGAGTGAGAAGTTCGTGGATCCTGACAAGTGTTGTGTTTAGACATCGTTCAATGGGGGCAAAAAGTTTGAACCAATATTCATTTTTCAGGTAGCAGTACCTGTATACACAATTCAAGCAAAGGGTTTAGCTCCTTCTTCACGCTGTCACTTATCATGCCATAAACCTTTTCAATTAGATCCACAAGCTGCTGTTTGAATAGCAAAGCAGGATATTTTGCTTCAACTTGGGGCAATCCAGCAGATCCAACAACTGATTGACCACTGAGATAAGCAAGCCCAGCATTTGAAGTTTGATTTCCATGAAAGATCCTCTCCGACGAAAATCTTCTCCTTTGCGGAGTTGAGATTGCCGTCCTAGTAGTTTTGAATGACCGTTGAAGGAGAACTGTTAATGTAGATAAGTTGGACAACCAATACGCCAATGTCCTCATGTCATTTTGAGACTTTAAGGGAAGAAAATAAAAAGGACAATTAGCCAAATTCTAGTACAATAGCATGATGCCGTCTTGTATGCAATATAAAAATAAATGGAGAAATAGGGGATTGCAAAAGTTGGCATGTAACTTATTTCCCTTTTCAGTTTTGCACATGTGAGCTCTAATATCACCCATCTTTACTTCGTTTACATGTTGAATGGATGTGGTTCTATGTTCAGATTACTGAAAGATTCGATTAAAAAATTATGTAGTTCTTTTCACCAAAGTAGAAGTAGTGCTCCATCAGCAGCAATGGTTCTTAAACAGAATATGATGAAAATAATTAAAAATAAAGAATCAAACTAAGTGGTGGGAACCTCTGTGGCTGAGTTTATAGCATGCAAAATGCTGTCGAAGACACCCGTCTTCATGGCTTCAAATGATTTCCAATGGAGAAGGCGTTGGTATATAAGGAGAGCTGCAACAGGTTTGCTCCCAGAAAATCCAAGATATTGTGAAATACAAGTGAGTAACCACTGCTGATCGTCCTGGGGCTGCTGGTGATGGGAAGGCTTCAAAAAGAATAAAACTATCAATACCACAATAAAATTAAGAGTTAAATTCAACAAACAGTATTTACCATACCTGATATTTCTGTTTTGGTATTCTTTGCAGTTTTTCTCCATGTTCAAAATCTTTTTGGTCGCCCAAGTCAGGAACATTGGCCTATAAACATATTTCAAACGCATAGTTTAACAGCTCATTTTTTGAGATATCCTTCAGATTTGTGTTATGCAGCTATATACATGGTTAAACTCACTGCTGAGGTTATTGCTTCTGATGTGCCAGTTGAGGGTTTCATTTCAGTTTGCCTAATGTCACCATTGAAAATATGGCCATTCTCTGGACTTCTCTGTAAAAATAGCATCAATTCCAACTTTGAGTGTTGAATGACTATGCAAAGTATATTTAAAGAAGGTTCTTAAAGGGAGACTTTACATGGATCCTTGAGATCTTTGAGCGTGAAGCTGGAGATTTAGCAGTAGACGGTGGAGTTGAAGTTGCTTGTTGACGAAGAACTTGGTTCTCAGCCTCTAAGTTGGATGCTTTTCCTTCAAGTCTGTTCATGGAAGGTTGGGTAACAATTATTTGGTTGGAGTTTGTAGTGACATACAGAAGTAACAGATACATCTATTTGAGATAATGGAACACGAAGTATGCAAGTGCACACCTTTGTAGAGCTTCCTGAAGTTGAGTGACAATTTTACTAGAGTCTTCAATTTTCTTAATCAAATCATCATTCCTCTTGAGGAGGTCCTCATTTCTCTTCAGTAAATCTTCATTTCTTTCATGAGCTTCAGTAACAGCTCTCTTTGCAGCATCACTTTCTTGTTTTTCCATTACAAAAGAAGACAATCTTGATATTGCATCTACTTGAAGCCTGTTTCAGAGAAGAAAGTATTAGATTTCAAAACAATAATATCAGCATATGGCAATTTCAGAAAGATAAGTAGAGAATGGCGATACTTACTTTTGTACCGTGTCTTGAAGTAAATGGATCCTGTATTCACTATCACTAATTTTCTTGAGTAATTCATCATTTCTCTCTTGAGCTTCACTAAGAGATTTCCTGATTTCGTCATTTTCCTTCATCGCAGCTTCTAAAGAAACATTTTTTGCAGCTACATTATCTTCAAGCCTGTTTTATTCAGGAACAATTTTATAATTCAATATAGCAAATGATGGGCTTATGAACACACATGTGCACATGATGGGAGGTGTGAATATGTATAAAACATTGTAAAATCATTAGGCAAGGTACAATTTTTTTGTATTGCTACAGTCCCCACCCCCACCCCTCAGCGCACACATACCCAGTTTCCTCAAAAAACGCACACATACCCCCACCCCCACCTTCTGAATGAGTATGGATAAACCAATGACAAAGCATCAGAGAAGGTACACACGTATTTATCGTAGTTTGAAGGTGTCCTATTTTTTCATTAGCATCTTCAACTTTCATCAGTAACTCTTCATTTTTCTCTTCAGCCTCAGTAAGTGCTTTCTTAATAGCCTCCTTTTCATGTCTCTCTGATAGCAACAGAGAATCCTTTGTTGTTGTATTTTCTCCAAGCCTGAATTGAAGGAATGGAATGAAGCATTAGAATCTCATAACTATATGCATTGCCATGACATGCAAGCACCGACTAGACCCCAATAAGAAAAGGCAGATCACATACCTTTCTATGGTACCTTGAAGAAGGTCGATTTTCCTGTCAACATCACTAAATTTGGTTAGTAATTCTTCATATTTTTCTTGACTTTCATTGTGTGCTTTTGTTGTTATGTCATTCTGCTCCCTCTCCCTCAACAGCAAATTCTCATTTGCAACTGTAGTTTCCTCAAGCCTGTTTTTGTAAAAGAAAATAAGACTTTATATGTCAAGTATTTGAGGGATGGGAATTGTTCTGCAAATAATTAGTGCCCTAGACAAAAAAATTCAGTTGCTAATTTGACTATCTGCAATCTAGCTTAAGTTCATACGTTGGAATAAGTAAACCTAGGAACAATAATGACCTCTGTATAGCAAACTGAAGCTGAAGAATATGTTTATCATTATCATGAATTTTCTTCAGAAGTTCTTCACTCTTTTCCTGAGTTTCAGTGAGAGTCTTCCTTGTTGCCTCATGTGCCTGCTTTTCTGTAAGCAATAGGGCCTCTTTGGCAGTGACATCTTGTTCAAGTCTGAATGGGAAAGGGGAAAAAATCACTACTAAGTCATAAATTGACAAAGATCGATGTTTATCTGGGGTATATATCTCAACTATACAAAAGAAATACGAGGATGACCTCTGAAAAACAATGCATGCAGTAAAGATTCCCAACCATTACAATTAGAAAAAAAAGGGGGGAAATTGTTGTTTTTTCCACTCTTATGGATATCATTTGAAGATTTGCCATTCTGTGATCTTACTGAGGCATGAACAAAGTGGAAAATTCTTCAAACTACCCAAGAAAACAGGGGAAAGAAAGAAAGCAATCTGACCTTGTTATTGTATCCTGAAGGCTATCAGATTTTCTATCTGAACCTTCAAGTTTTTTTATTAATTCTTCGATTCTCAATTGTGCTTCTGCAAGTAATTTTAAGGTGGAAGCATTCTGTTCCTTTTCAGTTAGCAATAAAGCTTCAGTTACTGCCAAATTTCCTTCGAGTCTATGCACATGGATTGGAACACATCGTCATGTTATGCAATTGAAGATAAAATAAGGTTAGTGAACTGAAGTCAGAATAGACAAGGATGACTCATTCCTATAAGGAGAAGTTACAGACCTCCTAACCGAGTCCTCAAGTTCTGCAATATTTGCACGGGTATCTTGCACTTCAGTTAGCAATTCCGCAATCTTTTTCTGAGAATCTGCTAATTCTTTCTTGGTTTCACTGTTTTCATGTCTTTCTATAGCCAATAAAGAATCTTTATCTGCAGTAATTTCTTCGAGTCTATGTGTAAAGAAGAGGAAGTATTAAACTTAGTGTAAAGTTGGTTTGAATTTAACAGTACTTGTAAGAAAAGAAATTAAACCTTTTTACTGAATCTTCAAGCAGAACAATTTTGCTATCTGAGTCCTCTACTTTGTGCACTAACTCTCGGTTTTTCTCTTGAGATTCAAGCAGCAATTTTGTGGTGTCATCATAGCTTTGCTTTGTTGTAAGCAGTAAAGACTCTCTTGTAGTTGCATCCTTTTCAAGTCTATATTATTGAGTGAAATTCAGGAAACCAGTGTTAGCTCAGAAGGTTAAAAAAGATAAGAGTGGATCTTTATAGGACTGTTTAGTTCACAACACTTTAGTTTAGCTGCTAGTTATGCCAAACTACCAAATAGAGTTAGCAAAACAAAAACGGACCTTTCCACATTCTCCAGAAGCTGATCTATGTTTTTCTCAGCTTCCTCAATTTTTTTTAGTAACTCCTTGTTTGTTTCTTGAGCTTCAGATAGTGATTTCTTCGTTTGATCATGCTCTTTTCTTTCTGCTAAGTAAAGAGCATCCGTTGTTGTTGCACCCTCTTCTAACCTACATTCAGGATCAGATTACAACAGCTACGATTCAGAAATTTAATGATCAAATAGACAATCAAGCCAGGTGTCATCAAATGCCAAGTAATTCTCAAGTACACCCATTCAACAAGTGAGCAATTACTTAACATCTCCTGTGTCAACACATAAGAATTGGGTTCTACAGAATTCGTGAACATGGCTTCCTTAATTTACTATTCCACTTAATCTCAACCAGTCCTGAGTCATGGTACAAAAGGGTCCACAGGTCATCCACTAGCCACAGAACAATGACATCATCATCTTATTCACATAGTTTTCTTCCACTCCAACTATTCTACGGAGGCAATGGGCTAATAGCTGCAACAGCATCTACTCCAAATTAGGACAGCCACTGACAACACTATCAAAGATGAAAATGAGGAAGATTACGAGAGTACATGAGCACTCAATAGCTGTAATGAGCCCCCATTCAACAGGATGTTTGCAAATGGAGGTAAAAACAGGGTACGTAAGTGATTTTCCGGTAATAAAAACAACAAACCTTTCTATAGTACTTTGAAGTTGATCGGTTTTTCTATTAGCAGAATAAATTTCCTTCAGTAAACCTTCGATCCTCCCTTGTTCCTCTGCTAATGCTTTTGATGTTGCATCTTTTTCCTGACGTTCTGTTAGTAAAGTTGCTTCTCTTGCAACTGCAGTTTGTTCCAGTCTACGTTCATGGGCAAAAATGGTAAAAATCTAAGAAATAAAATTAGGTACCATAAACGACTGCAATGTTGCAGTACCTCTGTATACTATCTTGAAGCTGATGCACACTGTGGTTAGCACACTCAACTTCTTTGACTAATTCCTCAATTTGATCCAGAGCTTCAGTTAGTGTCTTTTTCGTCACTTCAGTTTCTTTCCTTTCAGTTACCATTAAAGCCTCTCTTGTAGTAGCATCTTCTTCAAGTCTAAGGCGTATTTAGAAAGAATACAATGTGACTACTCAAAAGGCCTCACTTTGGTTCCTTTGAAACAGAATTTTACTGGTGTTTCAAGCTTTACTACGCAGGGATAGAGACAAGAAGAAAGGGTGGAAAAACCAACAGGACAAGTGGTACCCGTTGGTTCGGAGATAGCTTTGGGCTAATTTTAAAGGAATGTTGATGCTAACACATATGCAAGATGATGCAAACACAAAACTTCTACTTGAACAACAATGGAAATGAGAAAGCCTTGAGGAAAATAATGCAAAATAGGAGATATGGCAAGAACAGAGGAAACTACAATCAGAACTTCTAGTTCTTAGTACTATTTCACTGGTGTATTTATTTTGATCCAAAACTTATACTTAAACAAGAAACAGGAAAGCCTTGAGGAAAATAATGCAAAACGGAAGATATGGCAAGCTAGAATAGAACAGAGGCCAACTAAAATCAGAACGGGAACTGGTTCCTGGCTAGTTCTTTGTAATATTTCATTCTGGTCTATTTGTTTCTAATCCCAGATGGCTCCTAGGGTCAAGAAAACATTAAAACAGCATGAAGAGTAGCTCTTATCCACATGGAAGAGAGAGAAAAACTGAAACTTTTCCATACCATCTGAAGTTTTGAACAGCTATTATATGCTTTGTACAGAAGTTAGTGCCATAGCCTCTAACGCACCAAATCTAATTTAAAAACTAATGATACAGTACGGGCCTCCCCTACTGTGCAATTTATTTTATTATTATAAAAAGAAAGAAGAGAAAGAGAGTTACTGGAAAGGAAGACAAAACCTGTACAGGGGAGACATGAAAAGCGCCATGCAACAAGCATCCAAGAGTGAGAAAGAAAAAACACACAAGCTAGTTTCTTTTCTGACAACTAGCTGGCTAGTAGCTACTAAGGTAATCATGTTCTGTGTGATAATGTTAGTTTCGTTTACGTTTGGTCTATGGTTCTGAACTGATTACAATCTGTAATTTCGTTGCCATGGTAATGAAATTCGGTTTTACCGGTGTGGAAAAAAATGTTCTGTGTGATAATCTAATCGAGCATGCAACATAGCAAATTTAACCATGTTCAATATCTTCCCTTTTTAGGTTATTCTTCATCTATCTATCTAACTCTCTCATAATATTTTTGTAACTGCTGTACTTATTTCTTGATTTTTCTTAAAATTATTTAGCAAAATGTTTTTCTTGGAAAAGAAAGATAGACTTACAGGACAATAGTGCTTATATATATGAGTTCACTAACATGATGTGTGATTTTGACAGAAGGATAACTAGGCAACTGAGACATCACACTGGATATAGATTTAAGGTAAGAATGGAACCTCTGTAAAGAATCTTGAAGAAGCCCATTTCTGGCATAAGCATCTTCAAGCTTCCTTTGCAGCTCTCCTATTTCCCCCTGAGATTCAGCTAGCTGCTTCATGATTGCATCATTTTGCTGCCTTTCAGATCTCAACGAAGTTTCCAGTGCTGCCATATTTTCTTCATGTCTAAACCAATGGCGAACAAAAGATAAGCTAAGAGACCAGTGACATGTAGATTGATTTATTAACAGCAAGATCATGACTGCAGAATAAGGAAACAAAACAGAAATGAACCGCCCTCAAGCATAAAAATAGGGCAAGTTAAACATTAAGCAACAGACCTTTGGACAGTTTCTTGGAAGTGAGCAATGTCTTTCTCAGCAACTTCAATTTTCATTAGTAAGTCCTGGTTTCTATCCTCAGATTCATTGAGAGATTTCTTAGTTGCTTCACTTTCTAGTCTCTCTGTTGTCAATAGAGCATCCTTCTCTCTTAACCTTTCTTCAAGGCTATGTCCACCCATCAAAGAAAGAAACAACTATTAGTCTCACAAAAAGTGAGGGGTTAATCCCTTCCCCTTCTCCATGCAAATAGATCCATACATTGTATATTTTTAGTTTATTGACTCAAAAAGTATCTTTTCTATTTTCTTGATATTAATTTCTTACAGCATGCTCTCTTGATGCGTCCCCACAAAGGTAAAAAGGAATTAGCAGAGTTTTATTAAAATATTAAATATATAGTTTCAAAGGAAACATCACATAACAAATTTGCTCAAAAAAACTAATGCATTATCACAGGAGGTTAGAACTCTTGCAAAAGGGAAGAAAAGAAAAACCTTTGTATACTAGTCTGAAGTAGGGTGGATTTTTCATCAGTGTCCCCAACTTCTCTTTGAAGTTCTTCAATCTTTTCTCGTGCTTCAGCTAATTCTATCAAATTTGCCTCATGTCGTTGCTTCTCAAATGTCAGTGAAGATTCCAAATTTTTCGTAGCTTCTTCGAATCTGCATTCAACAAGAAGATGCAAACTATATGGAACACATATAGAAGGATGAAAAGAAACAAGATTAAATCTGTACAGCTAACAATAATTAATGTCACTGTTATTGGGCCATTATTTGTTCCTAAAAAATAGCTATGATATTATAAATATGCAAATTAGGGATTATTGATGATGCTATAATTTGCAGAGTTGGCCACATTACTTTCTGGAATAAACACTAACCTTTGAGCAGCTTCATGGAGGAGATCATTTTGTTTCACAGCGTCTTCTAGCTTGCTTACCAATGCTTCATTTCTTGCTTGAGATTCAGCAAGTGCAGCATTAGCTGCTTCATTTTGTTGTCTTTCGGTTAGCAAAAGGGCCTCGTGTTCTCTTACAGTCCCTTCTAGTCTGTGCCGATACAGAAAAGGAAACTTTGAATTATCAGAGTAATGCCTAAAATGCAGAACTTTACCACCTATCAGAATCAGATTCAGAAACTGTGACAACTTCCGGAACAATTGGAACCTACGGAGTGAATCCAGGAAAGGCAATACAACCTCTCAATTGTTTAAATTAACAAGACCCCAATCGTTTAAAATCACAACACACATTGTGTAGTACCCTTGCAAATAAAATTCTAGACCTGCAACAGTCAGATTGGTTCAATTCTTGGTCCCAAATGAATAAATTGTGTATCTTGCAAATAAAATTCAACTGTCACATGAAATAATATATGAACAGGGAAATTTATGTGCTTGTACCATTCTATGCATGAGCATGTATGTTTAATTATATATGAATCTCTAATCATGGCTCCTTAAACAACAATGACAAGGGAACATCCCTTCAACATAGGTAAGAAGATTTTTTTCCCCAATTCAAGACAGTTCTAAGTTCAAATCTCATTTTGGCAGCAAACTAATTTTGGACTCCACTAGGATAATGGATATGTTTGACTGCTAATCCGCTGCTATAACAATTTCCATTCCAACACTGCTAGAACCTGAATACGAAATGCATGTGGACCAACTCTGTATAAGAGTCAAGAAATAATGTCATGGAGTTCAGGTAATTAAGCAACAAACCTCTGTACAGTATCAGTAAATTGTTTGATCTTTTCATCTGCATCACTGACTCTCTTATTTAACTCTTCATTTGTTTCTAATGCATTAGCATGCGCTTTCTTCGTTACATCATTCTCCTCTCGTTCAGCTACTAGCAGAGCCTGTAATAATAGCATGCACCCACTGTCAAACATTCTGAGCAGTGCCTAACATGCTAAGTTTATGGTACAACTTAATTAAATTCTAAGAGAAATGTTATGTTAGCATACTATTAAGTGTATGAACTTAAGATTATCCATTTGATAAAAAGAATAAGATTAGTCCTTGTTTGAATCCTTCTGCTTGTAGATCAGTTGAAAACAAAGCAGAATATTATGGATGAAGAACATACCTTTAGGCCCTCGATTTCTGTAGTCAATAAACTGATCTTTTCTCTTTCTTGAGCTAGAGCTTCTTCAACAGCCTTTTTTGCTGATTCTTGTTCCTGCATCGCTTTGACATCTTCTACTCGCTGCTCCATCTCCTGAAGAGCTTCTTTCAATTTGGAAACTTCTTCCGCTTTGGACTTCTCCAAATCAGCCTGTAAATTGAATATACATGAGTATGATCCATAGATGCTATGTCTATAAGCATGAAAACTGCAGTTGCACCATGTGCCAATACAGGATGCAACATGATGTACTTTTTGGTTCAAAGAATAGGCACATATAACAAGTATTTAAATATTGTTCAAGACCAAGTATTGACCCTTAGTTTCTTCTCTCGGTCCAGGCGGCTTGTTAGCTCTTCCACACGTTCCTCAAGTTTCTCTTTGGCCACCTTCAGAGCCTGTGTATCTCTTGCAGCCTAGGAAACATGCAACCCATAACAAGCTTAGAATAAATTTTACAGAATGAATACCATAATAGTTGCTCAAGTACCATTCTGAGCTTCCTCAGCTCCTTCCTAGCAACCCTTCTTCGCCAAGCACACTGATATGTTAGTGCAGCTCTCCTCAACTTCATATAATTTGAGTAATCTCTGTGGCATCGCCACTGGGACTGCAGGAAAGAAGTCTCATATTGATGGTCCAAAAAAAAAAACGAGAACACATAATAGCGGCATCCGACAGGAGATTAATATCCATCTGCGGTATAATAGTAAAAATAGCAGCAAGTTGCTGTAAGAAGTGCTAGCCTACCTGGATATGGACTGAAGCTTTATTTTTCTTTCTAAAGGTGAATTCATTACGAGCTGCCATGGCCCTTAGCCCGGCCTGCAATGTAATGGCTGACAACCGCAGTTGGTAATAAGTTTTCCAGGCAAAATACCATCGGGCATTTTTCTGAATTCTCAAAGCTGCTGCTTGTTGTCTCAGGAATTCATGTTGCTTACAAGCCAATCTTGCTGTAATTGAAAATATAGATCTTAGTATATGTACAAGGCTCCAGTATGGCTCCATGGGCATGCATTTTACATCAAGTGCTATATGGAAAGAGTTTACCTCTAACGAAAGATTGCAAACAAATAGATGTGTCCCGTAGTACTAGGAACTGTTCACGAGCAACATGAGTACGGAATTGACTCTGAACGCCTCTTGCTGCATTGTTTCTCATCTCTGTTCTTCTGGCATCCAGTTCAGCCATTTGACCAGCCCTCAGGAATACCTTAGTTCTTCCTATCTGTTGCTCAGAACATATTTTACAGAATGAGAGCAATGAGTATATAAACTTAGCATACACTTTTATATGATACTAAGATAAAATCTTTTGTGACTCAAATGTATGAAGAAATAATCTTAAACAAGAAAGTGAAACAAAGGTTACAAAATGCCTGGCAGTAGCCACTGCCTAAACCACAATCATTACATCTTTTACAAACACCACTACTCCACTCCAATCACAATAAACCCCACCAAGAACCAATGCTATATTTAAAGCCAGGGGCAGACCTAGGGCCTGGTGACCCTGCATGGTGTGGCACCTGAGCCCGGGCACTGGGGGCCTCCATCACAGCACTAAGTTAGACCCTCACCAGACATGGAGTTCTTGGGTCCGCCACTGCTTAAAGACTCATGAGTTCTTCGTGGTAAACTGGTTATTAGCTAGGATTTAAGTTCTACTCATTCCAGTGAACTCGGTGCCTTATTCTTTGAATCTTTTTGGCAATTTATGTGGTCTATACAACAACAATAAAATGTCTTTTAACTCGAATCAATTGAACTTGCCAGCTTAGAACATATAACATACCCTAGAGCCCTACTGAAACCCAAACAACATGCCTATCCGAACTCACATGACCTGCCCAAGGAATAATTTCTCAGACTTTATGCACTATCATTTTTTAAAAGTTGTGAAGAGGAGAAACCTGTCCATATCGGTACATGCTAAGGAGATTGGTAAGTAAAGTGTTTTTCACCTGATAACCCTGTAGTCCAATTTTGTCCAAAATCTTTTGACAGGAGACTTTTTCATCATTTCTATCAGAAAAGAACATGGTCATAATTACATAATATAAATAGAGAGGGGGGAGGCATTCCGTTATAGAACAATGATACTTACTTCTCTTTCAAAATTTCAGGAGTAAGAACACGAAAGCGATGCAAGAAATCATGAAATTGTTTCCTTGTGGGATAACCAGCACAGCTGATTCTAATTGCTTCAAGAACACCCTATTAGGATGGCATCATTAGCGAACTGCACCATAAAACAAGCATCTAGAAATTTGGCAAAAATGTATGGGATATTTTCCTTACAGAGCATCGAAGCTGCTGCAGAACATTGGTATTCTCAAAAATGCCAGGCTTAAGAACACTATTTGGTTTTATACATCTGATGTAATGTGGCTCTGTAGAGCTCAAAGTCTCCATGAGCTCGTGAAGTTGCAGCTGCAAATTACATTCAGTAATCAGAATCAAATACACAGAAACAATGACACCACACCAAAGATTTCATAAGAATACAGCAAAGCAAATGTCATCAGATCCCCATTCTTTTTTCCTCGAATATGAAGGAGAGCTGTATATCATTGCATTAAAAAGAACACAAAGCATACAATGCACCGAAAACAGTTAGGACTCCTTTACTGGAAAATTGAAGGGGTACCTGTTCTTTTGATTTTGTCAAATAGGCTCCTAAAGTTCAATTAAGTATCAAAGCAACAGCGTGCAAAGTAGAAAACATTATAAAGTCCACTAAACAGATTTATTTTTCTGCGCTAAAAAGATTGTAGAAAGTGTTAGACGTATATATGTATATGGGCCTGAGTTGGGCTGCACAGCCAACCAGCCCACCACATATGTAAGATTGAGTTGTAGTACCACATTGCCTACCAATGTGGGGTGTTAGTCCTATGTACTGTATATAATCAGCCGATGAGGCTCAATGCAATACAATCTACTATTCCTAACTTATAGATTATACAAAAAGATTATCAGTAGTACGAAGATGGCAATGGTTTATACATCACAAATTAAATATTGTAGAAATGTTACCTTAAAGCGAGTTGCAATTGAGGATTTTGATGATTTTGTGTTCTCTTCTGTTGCTGGTGGAAATAACCCTGATACAAAAGAGCATTTAGAAGCATTAAGTAATTCTTGATGCTCTGCTACCACATAGTCCTTGTTCTTGTCCAGGAATTGATCAGATTGATATGTTACCTAGGAAATAAAGAAGGAAAATGATCATACTCAGGCAAAAACATGAACACTGAACGACAGGAAAAGTCTTGTGTTATAGTGTGAAATATGTTTTTTTCTCAAACACGAGTGGGAAATACTTACATCTCCAGCATAATGTTGAATTGTAAATGCAGTACGAGAAAGCTTGGGTTTGGTAAATCTTTTGTGGTTCTTGAACTTTTCGTACAGCTTCTGAGACAATGTCTCGTGTGTGGACTTTGGAAACATGCTGATGGATGTATTTCAGCACAAAAGAAGGTAACTGTTGTTAGACGCATGTATTCACAAAACTGTTGCAAGAATGAAAATCCTTGATTAATATGTGAAACAATTAATTTGGAAGTGGACAATGGATGTTCAATTCAGTAAAATTCGAGAAGTAGGATCTGGAAATGCACCAAGTACAAACAGTTCTACTGGAAGCATCTAAACAATTTCAGCTCTCACCACCAGGCATACATAAGCTTAGAAATATAGCTTGGTCAAATGAAAATATGAAACATGTAAACTCACCAGGCTTCATCAAGAAGTGCAATAATGCCACCTGGTTTCTGGACACAGAAAAACGATAGCTGAACATGAGAATATAAAGGATAATAGGTGGAAATAGATAAGAATGAACAGCAAGAAGTCAAGGACACAAGTGTGTTGATTACTGTCATGTGTAGGGCATTGTAGCCCTATGCAATACAGCTAGGCTGGGATAGACTAATCTTAGTAAACCAATACCTTAGTAACCGCAAAGGCAATGCATCATTTTTTTTTCCTGAGACGAGGTTCAATGCAATGCGTCTTATATAGTAACCAACTCATACCTTTTCAATCAGGTCAAGTACATCTTGATTGTCAACAAACTCTATGTAACTCCAATTAATTTGCTCCCTTGTGTATTCCTCTTGTTCCATTTTGAAGACATTCTACATAACAAGCACCAAGATTAATTGGCTCATGCAAGCAATAAAAAGAAAAGTTCTACCAAAAAATATGAGTTCCACAATACCTGATTAAAATGTTGCTGGAGTTTTTCATTGGTAAAATTGATGCACAGTTGTTCAAAACTGTTGTTACAGTCACATAAAAGTAGGAGTAAGCACACCCTCAGAAAGGTCTTTTAGAGTACAAATTTGCTGCTCTTTTTAGAACTAATCAATTACCTGTTGGTTTTAAAACTTTCAAAGCCATATATATCAAGTACCCCAATCAGTTTGTTAGAGTCTGGGTCTTGTCCTATCGATGCATTTATTCTGTTTACAAGCCTGCAAAAGTATAAATGTATGTACTTAGAAAACAACTACATAATTAGTAAGGAATACATTGCGAAGTCTATTACCAGTCAAATAATCGAGAGTATATCTGCTTTGCTAAACCATCCCGGCTAATAGTAGCAGAATTCGGACCAACTGTTGTGGTAATCACTCCTTCTGGTGTATTAATTTCCCTCTTTATCAAGGCATTCTCCAACTTCTCACAATCACACCTGTAATGGCCATTCCAAGTGTAACATGGATTATAGATATGTACTATATAACATTAAAGTTGTGAAGAGAAGTGGAGAACAGAAAACACTAGTCATACATCAAGAGCTCTCCTGCTGTATTAAGATGGAATCTAGATTTGTCATCCTTTATTATGGATGAATCTACCTCTCTCCCTTTTGCAAAATTTATGTTTCCAAGATGAAGCACAACAGCAACAACCCGGAATATAGCTTCCTGTAAACAGTCACGCCATTTAAGAAAAAGGAATTACTTACTGTCTAGCTCCTTTATCCACCCTGGAAGAACAATTCCTTACTAAACTGAAATAGGAGGAATTTTTTAAACCTGTTCTTGATCAGTGATGCCAACAGTATCCATTGCCTTTCTTGTTGCAAGGTATTCCTCAGCATCATTGATTCCATCAACTTTAATACAAGCTGACTGGTTGAGGTAGTGAAACGACGATGGGTCCCCGAGCTTATACTTCTTAAGATCCTGCAGCCACACATTTTCCATAGAAAAATGGCACCTGTAACAAGCTTGGGTAGAAGATCTGAAACAAATAACTACACGAAGTTGGGAAAAAACTTTACCTCCGATGGTGCTGCACATAGGAAGTAAAAGCAATGGTAGTTCCTCTCTGGACTATTAATTTGGCAAACCCGAGATCTCTCAAGCAAGTAAGTTCTAATGGCAGCACCAGATATCTTACCGCTCTTGTCAAACTGGATTTCAACAAATTTACCAAATCGACTTCACCACATGGACAGAAAAGGTTAACAAGTCAGTACCATCGTATATGCAAGTACTGGAGGAAAAACTGATAGTTTATATAAGGGGCTCTTGCGTTCTTGCCCCTACTTTGAAGTGCAATTGTGATTTTGCCCTTGGTTTTCTAACTTTGTGATTTTGCCCTTCACTACGAGCAAGTCAATGCGATTTTGCCCCTAGTCAACGGTCAAAGCAGGGGCAAATTCACAAAGACCAGGGGCAAAATCGCGTTGACTTGCTCGTAGTGAAGGGCAAAATCACAAAGTTAGAAAAACGAGGGCAAAATCACAATTGCACTTCAAAGTAAGGGGCAAGAACACAAAAAACCCTTTATATAAATATCCTTCTATATAAGATACAGAACAGATGACCTAGGAATATTTTGACATCTCACAGAATATGTAATTCGGCTGATGGTTTCTGCGGCTGATAAGCCGACTGATGTTGTTTTGTTGTGAGAGAAAAACACTGTACCATGGCTGATAAGTTCAAGCGAATAGGTAGAAATCCTAAGTCAAAGTTCTCTAACTTTGACCAAGTTTATAGAAAAATCCACCAACATCTACAACGTCAAATTAGTTTCATTAAAGTTAATATACTTATCTAAAAACTTGATCAAAGCTAGAAAAGTTCAATTTAGGACAACTAAAGTGACTTATAATTTGGAATGGAGGTAGTTGTCTAAAATTACCACCGTTACTTCAATCAAAAGGCTTGTTTGACTAGTGACTGCGGTGACCAGAAAAGGGTTAAGTATGCCACATAAATTTGTAATTTGGTTTTCACCAGAACTGCTATAAGGTTTCCTAAAGTGCTATCAACATGAGCCTTTTCGGTCTGCTCTGAGTTAGATATTATGTCAGCCACCAAACTAAACAGTTGCTATAAAACTTCAAGCTTTTGAGGTCTTTAATTGAAATATTGCCACCTTTTCATAATCTCCGTTGTATAATACACCATGCCTTCAACAAACACAGTGACCGCAGATGTGGCCCATACCTTTGATTACTTGGATTCTTGTAAAACCAATGAATTAGCTGTTGAGAAAAAGGTAGGCACTATACTTTAACCCTCCCTCACATGCCTAGGTCGCCAAGAGTGAGGACTCATAGGACTCAGAGTGAGGAAGCAAATTGATTTCATTAGAATTGTCTCTAGCACAAGATCTTTGGTTCTGATACCCTCTAGTTTCATGCACCAAAAAACTCAACTGTAAGATTAAGTTACTACAGATATTGTGATCTCATTATACTCTCAGTTATGCAAGACAATAGGTACTACCACCAGGGTTTAGTATTTTCATCTTATTTGTATTACCACCAAGGCTTTGCACTTTAAGTCTACAACCAGACATGTTGAACATCTTCTAAGTTCCATTTATGATATCCATGAAAAAGGAATTACCTTGAGTTGTTGTTCCGAACAGTTTTCGCATTCCCAAAGGCTTCAAGGACTGGATTAGACTGGATCCAAAAGATAAGTAAGAAGTGGAAAGTGGAAACAATATCTACAAATTGAATTACTAGTTTACAAGACCTTCATAACGTCTTGACAAATGGACCATTTACTTTCATCAGCAAGAAATGTTGAGAAAATTTCTAACTTACTTCTAAAACTTGCTGTTCAACTGTCCTCTCTCCTGTTACGGATCGCCCACCCAGAAATGCAAGATATCTCATCAACAATTTCGTAGTTTCAGTCTTACCAGCACCACTTTCACCACTGACCAAAATGGAGTTACACTTTCCTTCATTTATCATTTGCCTGTTTCCTTATTCAAATGAACGCAAAATGGTACCATCAATATAGGGGCACCCCCACTTGGCAGTTGATGAATTACATTAAATGGTAGTAGTATAAACATTCACCTGTAGGAGACGTCAGCTATTGCAAATACGTGAGGATCTAGGTCACCAAGATTTGCACCTTTGTATTTTTCCATAGTACGGGCATCAACCAGATTAGGTAGCCTTTGGAATGGATTTATTGCAATCAGAATGTTACCAGTGTAGGTCTGGGAAGTCAAGAGAAGAGCATTAGAGAAAATTGACTCACATAATAATTGAGCTTCCCATAAAGTAACAAAGCATCACTCACATAAATGATACTTTTCGCATATCTGACAGCCAGGTTATCTAAAACACCAGGCTCATGCAAGTATGATAACCTTGTCATGTCATCCACCCCATCAGGTGGTGCTTCTGTGTCTTTAGGGTGTATATCCGATATATTTGCAATGACCTAATTACACAAGCAAAGGCATAACCAGGTTTATCATGAGACAAAGAAAGAACTTCAGTATAGCAGCAATGATATAAGGAAACTGACATGTCATTGGTATCAATGTAGTATTAACTCATAAACTGAATACTATCCATTTGAAAATGTAGGGCGTACTAGAATTTTAAAAAGTCAAACATTGTAAATTTGGACCATCAATTAGTAAGAATATATGTATGTATAGTGCACGAAAGATACATTAATTAATAGATCCATATTTCACATGTGTTTTAGCAAGACATTGGTTTGTAATTGATGATATATTGTAAGAGAAATTAATAATCAAAATATACCTTGAAACACTTCTCAAATCCTATTATTCCTTATAAAAAGAAATGGAGGGCATAACACTTCTTCTTCTTTTTTTTGAAAAGGGGCATAACACATTTAAATTCCCCAGTGTACATATGGTAGTGTTTTTAATCACTTTTATGCTTTTTCTTAGTGATGAACTGAAGTTACCAAATCTTTGCACATGTCTTGCCCAGACAAAGACAGTATATACAATAATAATCAGTGTTTCACTGCTCTGGAAGAGGAGCCAAGGTATGCAGTGCGGTAGAGGCTGACTGCTTTCAAGAATTTTGTTTACACCTAAGGATAGGTCGCATAGATGTCTAATTGTGTGGAGTTTCTCATTCTACATAAGGAAAAAGAAGGTTCAATAATGACACATAAAAGAACAAAGTAGTTGGTGGTGGCCAAGGATATTCGTTAAACAGACGAGTAGCTGCTCCAATTTGTGCACATGTATTATGGTAGTTTGTTCATGGAGTGATAAACATTCGTTAGAGGAAAGATGGACTGTCACAACTTGTAGTAAAGTGCCATTGGAGCACAGTAGTTTAAGTCGCAGACTACAGAGAGGTTCAGGAGAACAGGGAGAAGCATGAGAGGTGAGAGGTATAAATTATAGGGGTGTTTCTTGATCTATTCTCACTTAATCTCAAGAGGTGATCAGCAGGTTTAAAACAGTCGCCCCTGACAACCTAATAGAATCAATTCTTTGCTAATCTATTAGCTAACAAACTTGGAAAGAAACCAACTTAAAAGGTACAGCAAACCAATCAAATCTGTAAGATACAGGCTTATGTCGAAGCCTATGCTAAAAGTCTATCATTGGGCCACTGGACCACTGCTGCACTATAACAAACCAGAATTCTCAGAAACCATACAAGATAAAAGAGGAAAGAAGTGATTCAAATAATCCTGCACCTGTTACATTTATAAACCACAGGCACTGAAATGTAATTTGTTTTCAGTTGACAGGAAAATTCCTTATCTATGACAATAATATGAAGATATATTAAAATGGGTTGATGCAGGCACATATTCTACAAAGATGCTCTTAGGTGTTGGCAGATTGTCGAATGTTCAATACTTCTCAAACAGTCTACAGACAATATGCCTAATGCTCAGGAACCGCCTCTTGTGTGATGGTGGAGACACGAAGGTACAACTCCACCCATCAGGCTTAAAATCCTGGTGAGCAGGAGTTACACAAATGCAAGTTCTTTCAGCGATCTCTTCATAAGTGTGTGATAGTGGCACACTCGCGAGTCCGGCATGCATGTGAATCAACTGGTAATTGTTTAAAGAAAAAGATATGTCTGATGCTCAGGCACTATACTCTCTACTAGCCTGTGTGGCCTTGGTACCATTTTGCCTAACTTCTTGGCTCCTGCCTCTCTGGATAGTCAACGAAAAAGGCAGACTGCTAATCACAAAGGTTGTTCCTATTACATTGACATATGATGAAATGGCAGGTGCATCTGGAGAACAGGGATTTGGCGTTAATCATGATTCATAAAAACAAAAGCATTACACTCCTGCAGTTACTTTAAATGTTAAGTTTTAGTGTCTTCAATAAAATGGATACCTGAACTCCAAACCTGTACAGTGTCCACAGAGTGGCTAATGCATGTCATTTTCCCTGTCAATATTTTAGGGTACCTAGTCCAAAATGCTTTTCACATACTGCAGTCTTGAAATCTCTCACCCATCTAATCCAGATAAAGGTTATAACCTAGTTATCCAGTGCTTTGGATGATTCACCATATTGCAAGAGCAGTTTTTCAGCATGGTACTCCATTATCTTCTCAAACATCAGACATTCAAGGTGCTTGCATAATCAAATGTGCTTGTTGTTTCCAGTGTTTTTGAGCTGCTACCTTTGAAAGTGGACAAAGACATGAGAACCCTTCCCCCCAGCCCCCTCGCCCCTCTTTTCTCCCTAAAAGGTGGATGCAGCACAATCTAAATCGGGGAGGTATCAGTTAATGTTGTTCAAGACCTTATGCAGTGTTGCAGCTGCAAGCAGGAATTACTAGCTATGTAGACAAAAAGAATACTCACAAGTATCGACAATTTAGATTATTCATCAATGTTTTCAAAATTTTCCTGGCAATACATAGGGTGCTACTTTTTTTTCCAACACAGGTCACTACACAGGATGTATGAGAACAAAGCTGCTACACAGTAAAGTACATTGTAAGCACTCTGGGCCAGATACTGAACTCTGAAATTATGAAGAACTCAAAAGCAAACTAAACAGGGATGTGACAGACTTCAGCAGGACAACACATACCGTCTTCCCCTTGGTTGTGCGGACATGGGCATTTTGACCATCAATTCGGAATACCTCACCATCAACCCAGGACAAATCTTTATCTTCCACCCATACATGAGAACCTATGACAATGTTTAAGGTCGAAGCCTGCAAAATGTGACAAGCGATAAATTTAGCATGTGAAATTGCATTCCAGGTGGATCATCAGATTAGCATACAATGCATATCAAATCATTGCACCTCAATGGACTGCAAAAGATAAGTGGGTTTCACAGAGCACAACATGTATATAGACTACATTTCAGCTTTCTTATATAATAATCCAGGTCCGATCAGATGTAATGTATAGCTGATTACAACAATGTCCATTTCTATCCTCAAACTAAACCAGGAGCAAATTAGGGCCTTATACAGTTCATCTAATCCCCCAGAGTTAACTGAACTTTACTTCATTCAACCCAGTAAGTTGAGCTAGTGTCATAGCATGCTATTCAGCTCGGAACTCAGTTATTCTGACATGATCCGAACGCCTGCACAAATGAGCTACTTGTGGTGGCTACATTCTGCTTTTACACGAGAAAACTAGAATTCAGCTTATCCAGCAAATGTACCAGAGAAATCGAACCAGTTCGTGGCTTCAATAAATTGAATTGAAAGCTCCAAATTCCGGAAAAGGCCAACTCCAATCTCACTTCACTTTCCCAAAACACGAGTTTCAAAACCACAGAATACTCCAAACCCAGCCAAAAACAGACGCCAACGGAAGAAGACAAACTCGCAGTCGGACACATCAGCATCACAACAAACAAACAGAAACAGCGACGCACCATGTTTCATCTGCGAGCGATCGAGCCGCCCCGCCCTGCCTCGAGGGACGGGCCCAGACACGAGCTGCGATGGGACCGGACGGGAGGAGTCGCGGCTCGGTCGGCGGCGGCAGCGACGGCGCCGACGGGCGATCTCCTCCCCTGGGTCGCTCGCCGATCGCCGATCGCCTCTGCGGCAGCGCGATCCGCCCCCGGGAACGCGCACGCGCGGCGCGCGTGGTGGAGGCGCACGGCGGTGGCAGCAGCAGCAGCGACGCGGAGGTGGGTGGGCTGGTGGGGTGGTGGTGGTGGAGGGCGACGCGACCGCGGGCACGACAGGAGAGAGAGAGAGAGAGAGGGGGAGGGGGGCGGCGCGGGCGGAGCCAACAGCCAGGCGAAGCCAGCCAGGCGAACGCAATTAGAAAAATGGGGAAATAATCTGCGCCGCCCGCTCGCGCCAACGTGCGATCGGGTCGTCACCACGAGCGCACCAGCGCGGCTGCACGCGCGCGGCACTTCCAAAAGCAAGGGGCGCGGAGAGTTTTTTTTTTTTATCAAACGTACCTGTATTAAGTTAAAGAATACGTACAAAGATCCCTAGAAATACAGATACGACACAGTAGGATACAGAGGACAGCTGTCCCCACCAAATCACACACAGGTACCTAGAAAAAACAGAAATTACAAACAAGCCCAAGAACCCTGCCGAAAGGCGTCGGGAACCGAAGCCTCTAGGCGCCATCTTTCCCAGAACTGAGAGAAGTCCATCGCGCAAAGGTTTGCAAAGAGCCGAAGTAGACACTCGTCCCTAAGAACGAGATATGTCGTCGTTGAAAGTTTGTCGGCCGGAGCCGCGCCCCAAGCCCCCTCGGCCTTGGATCGAAGCTCGCCATTGACGACAGCCGCCGCCACAGGGAAGTCGAGGTCGATCCATCCTCCACGTTGCCGCAGACCCAACAGCCGCCTCCCCATCCTCGAAGCAAAACGACGGCACCCACCATGCCTCGGCTAACGTCGAGATTGAAGGACGCCGACCATTGACTCCTACACAGAGACTCCACACAGGGAGTGCCACCTCCACGGGTTCGCCGTCGTCGCCGGAGTGGAGCTTCAACAAGGCGAGGAGAGTCCAAGAGGACTTATTCCGCCGCGCCGCCACCGCCACCGCCACCGCCAAGAAACCTAAACCTAGAAACCCTAGGACCTAAACTACCACCTACCCCACCCGTCGCAAGAGACCGACGATCCCCGCCACCTCGCGACGTCCCACAGGCCATCGGAGGTGGAAGAGACCGCCAACTCCGCCGGCGGCGACGAGATCCTTTTTCGCCTCTCTCAACTGTAGCGGGGAGCCTTCGAGAGACCGCCCGAATTCTAAGGGTTGGGCACGGAGAAAGCTAGGGAACAAGGAAGGTGGCGGTGCGGTAGGAATAGAATAGGAGGTGGAGGGGATCAAAGGCGAGTGCGATGGGGACAGGGAAGAAGAAAAAGGCGGTGGTGGGCTTGGAACCGGGAGGGAGGGATTAGATTATGAGATTTCTTTTAAATAAATAGATTATGAGATTTTCCATGTGTGCCATTATAAGGTTTGTAATTTCCTATAGTCCATTAAAAATCCTTGGGTGGACACATGTGCTATTGGTCTGAATTTTTTTTTCTACTATTCTGATTTGACTCTAACGGTGTTACAGATGTGAACAAATAAAAATACTCTTAGGTTTGAATATGTTATGAATTTTTTAGCATCTTAATGATTTCAAATGAAAAAACTCAAAACTAGAAAGTCGAGATCTACAATTTTTATATAAAATTATTTTCATTTGATTCCATAAAAAATAATTTGATATGATTAATATGTCTTAGAAAATTTGATATGATTAATATGTCTTAAAAAAAGATATGGCTTGATATGATATGATTTGTGGAAGGAAGATAATTGGGGGCTCGACTCGACTCCTCGCGAGATCAGAGTCGGCGTCACGGCAGGTGATCTGACTGTGATTCTGACCGTGTTTACATGTGCCGTTAAGCCGTGGGGAGGCCGCTGGGGCCACCTGGCCGACAGTTAGGCAGCGTGTCGTCATTTTGGGTGGGCCGATGGAACAAATGGATGGCTTTCGGCGGAGGGAGCAGGCGTGGCGAACTGGAAAGCTGATGCCGCCACAGCCGTACTCGTATACCGGATCCCGCGATGAAAGCCACCTACTGTGTGTGGACTATGGTTTACCTGCGTCTGCATGATGTACGGTCTACTCAGCCTTTGTACAGTACCGTCCTCCGTCTGTATAGTCTCTTCTGGCAAATATATGTTGGCGTACATGCACACTTGGCTCCTCCGTCCTACTCCGTACCTGCTAGCGTTTTATATGTGCATTTTGTGCAGCTGCTATGATTGTTTAATCATAGAATCCGACAGGGCCATAGCAGCGATGCTGTTGTTGAAGAGTTGATCCGGTGATCCTACGCAGCACGGATGCCTCTCAGGTCAGGTTCGTATCCGGGATACGGATACACGAAGGGTATATTGCCGATATGTATATGCTTGGAGTATCTGATTTTTATTTAATTTAATCAATTATATATATGTTGCTTATTTGTCAATTTATCATTATATGATCTTCCTGAACTGTGAACTCTAGTATGGAGTATGGACTTGTTATTTGTGAATTTGGTGTATCACTGCAATGTATGCACTATGGAGTTATGTGCTGAAAAATTTGATACGCTCTCTGTCCCTAAATGTTTGTTGCCATGATTTGTGTGTCGATAATTTTAACTCGATTTATAGAAAATGCGTGTAACATTTTTATCTCCAAATAAATTTATTAAAAAACTAAATTCAAATATCTATCCAATGATATTAATTATGTATCATAAATATTAATATTCTTAATACATATTTAATCAAAGTTGTTTCTCGGAAAATGAAAACGACATATATTTAGGGACGGAGGGAGCATGTATTATGGTTTATTTATATAGAAAAATACTCAAACGTATCCGCGTATCGTTTTTTTTCAAGAAATTGTTGTATCTATGTATCCATATCCTTGATACCGATATCCGTGCTGGGTAGCTGTGATCCATGTGCGATTGGTGCAGCTTATCTTCCTTCCACAAAAAGGAAATAAATATTGCAGCTTATCAGGACGACGAACCAGTTCTTACTCTCTCGTGGACCACATGTGCATGACATTCCGTTTTGAATATGTGTGATGAACTTATTGACAGTGGGCTGTACGCCCGTACTGTATTCTTCGTGTATTCTGGAATGCACAAACAAAAAAATGAACAAAACACAACCTAACTAATCAACGGGATAAGTTTAAGCTAGTTTGCCGGAAACGGCGTAAGCAAACTCCTAATCAATTCCAGATATCTCGAGCATTTCGATGGGAAAGCGCATGATTATGACGGCTTGCTTGCTTGCAGTTGCAGCAATGCAGCAAATGGAAGAGCTAAGCTAGCACGCGTCGTAACACAACTCGTCTCCACGGTCCGATCAGCTCAGCTGTACCTGTGTGCGCGCGGTACTCGCCTGTCATGGACCCCGGTGCGGATGAAAATATTGGCCGCATCCTCATCCTTCCAGCTCAAACGCGGCACGTCTGTTTTGTTGGGTGGTGGAACAGTGAACAAAGACTGCCAGCAGCTGCACGACCGGTGCTGCCGTCAGCAACTTCTTTGTGATGGTACCCCGGCCGGGCGAGGCCGGCGTGTACATACAGTTACGCCTTCGCCACTACCTGTCTACCGCCTTCGCCACAGTTTTCTTGGTCCAAGACGTGATGAGGTAGTAGCAGGCACTAGGCATCGGCCAGCAGGGGCAGCATGGTTGCAGGCTGCAGCATTGCCGTCCGAGCACTAGCTCCCGGGTTTTTAACAGCTGCTGGCCGTGCTTGCCACAACCTGCGCACCCGAACGAACGAACGCAACGCACGATCACAGGAATCGAGTAGCACGTTCGGAGTATAATAAACCAGACAGGATGCTTTGCTGTTGTGACGATGCGACGACGGGTACCCTCAGAGTTTGAAACGGCTAGAGGAAAACAGGCGCGCGGACGGACTGGTGGGTACGTGTCGGTGTCCGTTCAAGCTCGACCGCTAGCTCATGGGTTCCTACTGGTTTTCGGTGTACGCCTCGTTCTTTCACTGGTACGCCGTGGGGGAAAAGTGGCTGGCGGAGAAGGTAAGAAATCAACCGCCACCGGGCACCGCGATGCGATGATGGCGGCGTCGCGCGAGTGCAACCACCGCCGTGTCCTTGTGGCTGGCGTGCCGTCCATTTCAATCCACATTAATTTGATTCTGGGAGATGGTCGCTGAAACTGTGAGAACAGAAAACAGATTGGAATTCTCCACGGATTTGTATTAGGATCCCGGCAAGGTTCTTATTATCCTGACACTTTCAGGATCCAGAAAAAGTCGAGGATTTGGCTGTCTCCGGCTGTTGAACGAGATTAAAATACCGCATTTCTTGGTTTTCAGATAATTGGAATTGGAAGTGGTAAAATACCATGCTGGCTGATGGCTACTCCTGCTTGCAGCTCTGCAAGCTGAAAATGTCACCCTCCTATCAGATGCCAGAAAATTACGCTCAACCAAGCTCAAAAAAGCAAGCAAGATGCTCACGACTACCGCTTACCAGCCAGGCAGCCCGTAATAAACGAGCAAGCCGCGGCCGCGTTGGCTTGGATCCAGCGCACCGCTGCCACCCGCGTCTCAAATGCGCAGCGCAGGCGCGCAGCTGAGAGCTGACCAACGAACGCAACGACCACCTACCAGCTTTTGTTCCAGACTTCCGGTGCACCGTAGTTTGGACGACTGGGCAGCTGGGCTTGCCATAAAACCAGACGAAATGGCATGGCATGAACTGCTTACGCTGCTCAAGTTGTGCACACAAAAATTCAACACAAGAAATCCAGGTAGAACAAGGCGGGAAGGCTGGCGTTTCCTGTCAAAAACGAGGGCTCCGTTACCTGCTTCTCTGGTTTCGTCGTTTCGATGGACAATAATCAAGCGCCCCTGGATGAGATCACCACGAGAACAGATTCCAGCGACTTTCTTTTGCCCCTGTGCCGAATGATGATTTGATGAGCTGTCGATGGAGACCCGCAAATTCCTTAAACAAAGTTTGCGTCCAAGGTCCAACCAACGAAAGCTTTTATGGGATCATGGGGACCCTCGTAGATAGAATCATCACAGCCACGGGGCGTCAATGAACTCTTGCTAACCTACGAACCTGCCCAGAAAGCTCCATGATGCAACGCTGCCAATCTGTAAAAGGTGGTGATTCATGAAACGGTAAAAGAAGATGAGAAGTAATTCATGCGATGGTAAAAAAGAGGGTTAAAAGATCACAGGGGGTCCCTTATCAGTCTAGCATTCAAAGAAACTGACGCCCATTTTTCACCAGTAGTGTAAAATAAAAGGGCCTTTCGTGAGTCATAATACGCGTGCCCACCCCCAGAGCTTATGACTTTCTGTGGCAGGCTTCTCACAATTTGTTGTGCTCATCTTATACACAGCAGAAACTGATATACGATGAGCACAACAAACTATGGGCGAATGATTAACAAGATAACAAGAGCTGTATGATGGCTATGGCAGCCTTCAAAGGAAGACAGTGTTGCACCTTCAGAGGCAGAAGCCACTATAATTGTGACAAGAGAAACAGGTCTCACGAGAGTTCGGAAGGAACACCGAAGACAAACTATGCAGGATATAAAAAGTACTGATCCTATGCAAGAGAATTCAATGTACATGATTTCACAACCCACTAGGAACATTCCCAGTGAGGTCCAATTGCAGATAAGTAAGCCCCCTTCTAAGGAGATATACCATCCTTCCTGGCACTAGCTACTGAATCGCTAAACCATCACCGAAATCTCTTGTCCTTTTGAAGCATGATATTTGGGTTCCGTGAATGACTCTTGTTTCCTGTTAGCTCGCCCCACCTGGTCCCTGCTCCATGAACACGTGAAGAAATGCTCCAGAGGGTGTCTCCTGCCTGACCAGCTGCCTCTTTGGTTGGCTTCACGATAGCTTTGGATTTCATCAGAGGATGCTTGTTTCCCTTGCCCATGCCAGCTGCAAGCAACCATCTAGAGCCAGACTGCTGCTGCGTTTGATTGCCCCATGGTTTCATCTTCTCAGGTTCGCTCTTGAAACCAGCGACATGCACTTCTGTAACCTTGAATTGGGGAATGGGATCCTCTAATTCCTCAGCCTTCTCTTCTGTGACCAATGCCTTATCTGGAACCTCTTCGGTCTTGGGTTCCTCATCATCCTGCTCGCTGTTGCCTTTGTCTGAGACAGTACTGTAGATTTTGGGCTTTGGGGGTACAAAAACCCTTTCAACTTGGATTAATGCGAGCATTGGTGTGCCCACTGGCTCGTAATTGCGTAGTGGGTCACGCAGTTGAACCATGAGAGCAACCGTAAAGTTATTCCCTAACAAGCCCCATCTTCTACCAGATCTCCTACTCTTTCTGTCTCCATTCCGGTTTTCAGCAACTAACTCCATGGATTTTGCATGGTGAGCAGCAAGTATCTTCGATGTCCGGTCACTATACTGTTCTTCTTCGTCCACAACCCCAGAATCAAGCCTCATCCACTCATCTAGAGTGATTGACAAGCCCATTAATCCATCAACTTCTTCTCCACTTTGCTTTATGTCCAGAAGCTGCAAACCTGCAGTTCCCTCTAAACCAAGGGACAAGGTATTCTCTGCACACTTTCCTTGCAGAGATGAAAATTCCCCAATAGGCTTCGCACTGATATTGGAGGGTGCATCTTCTTCTGACATGCCAGATTGTATCCTCAAACCCTCAATGGAAAGGGCTTCAATCTTTTCCATAGCTAATGGTGCAAGGTCCTCAAGTGAAACATACTCTGAAGCATTCTCCCCACCCAAGGATGATGAAAGATCAGCACATCTACCTTTCTTCTTCTTACCAGAGGGAGCATTGCCACCCCCTCCTACCAAAGCATCGATGCTATGATAGTCCAATGCATCATATCTGCATTGATAAAAGAGAAAAAACCTTTAAGCAAGGCATATGATAAAGTAGGAAAAAGCACAAACAAGCATGAAAAGGAAGATAATAAACCTTTCAGTAGACTCCAGAGCTGGAGCAGCTTCCCAGGCAATCTGCTGCATCATTTTACCATTAACATCTTCCAAGGGCATAAGTTTGTTTGCCTGCATTGATAACTTCTCAATTCCAACTGATGCCAGACCACGCAATATATCCATAATCCCAGATCCCATCTCTGCTGGTAGTACAATCGGAGAAGAAGCCTGCATAACCAAGCTGCAGTTGTTCTTTGCATTTTTGAACAGGGCTGGGTTCATTGATCGCAGAAATCCTCCATCTTTGGTCTGAATAAATGGACCTAAACCTTCAGCCAATGGCGGTAGCTCCAGGGGCTGCTCAGGTGGGAGGTTAATGGGGCTACCAAACCCACTTCTACTTTCAGGAGAAGATTGGAAGGACTTCTCATTTAGCCCAAACTGACGCATTAAGGCCTCAGTTTCTTCGTCTTCCAGCGACTTAGCTTGAAATTTGGTATCAATGGGTTGGCTTCCATTCTGAAGCTCGAGCTCAGCCTCATGTATCATTGCAGAGAGATCGAAATCCTCCACAACATCCTCACAAGTAGGTCCTTCAATTCCATGGTCAAAGTCCAAACCAAGAATAGCGTTGCCAGATGATAACGTTTCCTTTTCAAACTGCTTCCAAAGTCGTTCTCTCGGTGACTCGGAATCACTATCTGAGGGTTGCCCAAATGGGCTATGCTCTATGCCAAGCATATCCAAGAACTCATTAGCAACAGAATCTGTTGAAAGATCCATGCTGCGCGATCTGCCCTTCCTACTGGCAGACTTGTAACTATCAGTCACTCCTGTGCAGCTCAATCGCCTAGAATGCTTATCTTCTACAACTGGTGATTCAAATTCCTCCGGCTCAGCAACTGAGAGCTCGTTCAAAATACATTCCAGGTCCTCCAGTTCTGCATCTGCTCCAAACTGACCCTCTGCTTCCGGAGCAGCAGTAGGCAGTGAAGCGGCTTTGACTATTCCATCCTCTTTGTCTTCCACATTCTCCCTTTGAACAGCAACATCACTGACTGCCACCTCAGTCTTCACTCCAACAGTCTGATCTTCAGCGACATCACCGCTTATTACTACAGGCTTGAATGATCCCTCTTCGTCAATTTTAAACCCTGAATCCTCATCATGATCAGCAGCATTGCTGGTTTCCACATGTTTGAGTCTTTGTGGGTCATCTGAAGCAACCTCAACTCCATGCTCAACAACATTGAACTCCACCGTGCCCCAATCGCCATCTGGACGCACCGAGCTCCCCTTCTTAACCTCTACCGATGTGCAGTGCTTTGCCTCCGGAGACCCCTCCTCCGTGCAGTCCAGTGCTGCCACCTCCTCCTTCCTCGCGACAGGACCCCCGTCACCAACAAAAGGCAGCGACCTGGCAGACCTCAAGCTGGGCAGCACCTCGTGCAGCACCCTCACGTCCCTGCTCCGCGCCGGCACAGGCGTCGGCGTCTGCACTGACACCGGGCGCGCCATGGACCCGCGCCGCAGCCCCGCCACTTCCCCGGCCTTGTGCTGCTCGCTGGCGCCGCCGCCCGCGAGGAGCGAGCAAGAGAAGGTTACGTTGAGCCGCGCGCCGCGGGCGGGGCCGGACAGCCGGAAGCTGGTGCTCCACTTGCCGAAGCCGGAGTCGCCGCCGTCCTCGAGATCGTCGAAGGAGAGCGGGAGCAGGCGGGTGAGGTCGACCTCGTGCTTACCGAGCTCGAGAGTGGAGGCGGCGACGGAGACAGCAAAGGCGCGGGGCTCGTACTTGACCACGGCCTTCGCGCCGCGGGAGAAGTAGACCGGGGACCGCAGCGTGAGCGCCTCCTCGAACGCGGCGGCGCCGAGGGCGGCCGGGACGGAGCGGGTGGAGGCGGACACGGACATCCGGCGGAACTGGACGGAGACCGCGGACCCATCGAGCGCAGCGGGGAGGCCGTCGACGGAGTGCACGTGCAGCGCGAACGCGCAGTCGAGGCGGCGGCGGCCCAGGTGCGAGATGGCGGTCAGGGACTTCTTCCAGAAGGAAGAGGAGGACGAGGAAGTGGAAGCGGAGGAGGAGTTGGCGGTGGACGGCAGGAGCTTGCGCGACGAGGAGGAGGAGGAGGAGAAGGAGGGCTTGAGCCGGGGCTTGTGGCGCGGCTGCTCGGTGGCGGCGGGGGATGGGGAGGGGAGCGGTAGGGAGCGGCGGCGGCGGGCGGAGGGGTCGAGGGAGAGCGCCTTGTGGAGCGTGACGATGTCGCGGGCGAGGGCGGCGTCGCCCGCGTCGCCCCCGCGGTGGTCGCCGCCGCCGCCGCTGCCGCCGTGGGGGAAGCGAGACGACATAGCTGGCGGCGCCTGGGCTTGAGATGGGTCAGGGGATTTTCAGGAGGCGATTTGAAGAGGGCGGCGCGGCCGTCGACGTGGGGAAGGCACACAGACATGGACAGGGGGAGCGGAGCGGGGGATGCGTTGCTTTGGTGATGCGTTTTGTTTTGTCCTTGCTACGGGCCATATTTACTTTTTACCGGTATAGTGGACGACAACTCTTAAAATAAGAGTTTATAATCGACGATATGATTTTAGCAGCGGAGAAAGAAAATCAATATATATTTTATTATTTTTTTATATGGAACGTCAGCACCTCGTACCAGCGCGGATCCGAATTAGCAGCGCCATGTAAAATGACCGCCTCTACCCCTGATGTCTTTCTACTCCAGTACTCCTCGTGCGGCCTACTCATTTCACCCACCCCATTCTTTCTTCGCTCGTCGTGCTCGTGCTTGGCCCATGGCTCAGGCCGGTCTGCAGCGCACTTGCCCCATGGCGGCCCTGTTCGCTGCCGCCTGTCTCCTGGCATGTCGCGCCGTCGCGGTCGTTGCGGGGCCGCCGACGTACCGGCCGCACGTGGCCGTTCGTGGTGGGCAGCGAGGGCATGGAGTGCCGCGGAGGCGAGAATGCGACCGTTCGGGAGTAGGAGGCGTGCGTCATGGCACGACGCATGCCGCGTCCAGCCTGCGCGCGACGCGGTCTCGCTTTCGCAGACGTGATACGACCAATGAAGAAGCGCGGTCGGCGAGGACGCGAGCGCGCCATGTGGTGACTCCATGGCGTCTACTAGGATGGCGAGCCACGACCATTTCTCGTGGGCGTCCGTCATGGCACGGTAAGCAAGCGCGCGCCCGGCGCTAAGGCGCTTCGTGGCGGGCGGCGGCGGCTTTGGCGCTTCGACACAGCGGACAACATGGCGTCGCGTTCAGCGACGAGGGCGGCGACTACAGACACTAGGGCTCGAGGTGGCATGCAAAGTAGCGGTGACCGCGGACGAGGTTCAGCATGGCGAGCGACCCCACGCGACTGACGGCGAGAGTGACCCGAGTCGATGGGTGCATGGCCAGCCCCTCGTCGTCCTCGTGGCACGGGAAAGCGCGAAGCTTGGCGAGCAGAGTGAGGTGGAGGTGGAGCGTGGCGTTGTCGGATGCGGCTAGGAGGTTCATGTTCAGCGGCACGGGCGCCCAAGGAGTAGAAGGCAAGCGCGGAGATGGCAGTCGAGGAGTCGTCCGGCCGGGAGGCCGCCAGCCCCGCCCACGCCGCTGCGGCCACGCAGCGCACGGGGCCCGTGCGGGACTCTTACGAGCGGGCGGCGGTTAGGGAGCAGATGCTGGGAAGGTGTGCAACGTGCCGAACGTCGGCCTGAGCCACGCGTCATGCTATGCTCTTGAGTCATGACGTCATGATGATGTGATATACGCTCTTTTTTCCTTTGAAAAATTAAAGAAGAAATGTTTTAAAAATACAAGTATACGTATATGAGACAACAACTATCCTGAGCCATCCATCCTTTAATATGTTGCAAGAGGAGAAAGGCATGATGGTCTTTTCGTATGTTGCTGATGACTCAACATCACCCTGGTGTGCGGGCGTGGTTTACCACGTGAGCAAAAGTGGCGAATATGTATCGATTTTCTCTCTCTCCTGGTAAAACTGTATCGCCAATCCTAAAGCTGCTTTCTCAAGAGTTACCATCCGTTATAATGGTAAAAAGTTAAATATTCCTTGGTATTCCACTGGCGCGCCCGCATGGGCGTGGGCAATGCGCTTGCTTTGGTGTATTAGTGTTTATCTCTCTAGCTCGGCCCAACGGACGAGTTGGGCCTTGACCTCGCGTCCTAATTGGGGGCGTCCAACCCTACATGGTTGATGTGTCCCCGTCGCACTAGGCTATAAAGAGAGGTGGGGGCCGACGGCTCTCAGTACGAGATTCACCGTGAGCCGCCACACCCACTAACAAACTCAAGCCTCTACGCCGCCACTGCACTGTGACTGACCTCAACACCGTCACCGCGACACCGCCGACCCGGACCGCATCACCTTCGCCATGGCTACGTCGAGCTCTTCCTCTAAGCCCGTGGATGATCGGTGACATCTCACCTCCCTTCTCTCTCTATATCATGTTTTATGATGTTTTTATCCTGTATATAAGATTGTACTCACCAGATCTATGTCTGGTGATCGACCGTGTCTATCATGGTGGGCTCGGTGCTTTGTCTGTGAGCTGGATTTGGGATCTACTAGCAGTAGTAGAAGCAAAGTAGAATCCCCGTCACGTGAATCGTGAAATGGAAGGATGGGATGGGATGGGATGGGTGAGGGTTGGTTGGTTGTTGTTGGATGGTCGATGGGAGTGCGTTGATGATTTGAAAGTTAGAATTGGAAGTCAATTCGAAACTGAGCTGTTTTGTGGATGGATACCCTTAAAATTCGATTTTGCTGGAGAGCGTAAAAATAACTAATTGATGATTGGAAATGAGATAAAAGCTTAGTTGGTGGAAGTCAATTTCAAATAAGAAACTGCTATTCATGTTTTGTAAACAAGGCCCTACTGTATGTCTGTATGCCTTTGGCATTTGTTTTGTTCAGTTAAACCGTGGTCGTGGTGCAGTGCAGTCCCAGACGAGTTTTTTATTATTTTTTTTGACCGAAGTCCCAGACGAGCTTTTGAGAATGGGAAAGAATAATGGACGTAGGATGAATAGATGGATTTGAATTTGAGCCATTTACTCCCGCTCGTTTCTGTGCACATTGTACTAGGAAACACTGATGCCAAAATTGCGGGACCAGGATGCATCCATCAATCAAAGAGCGTTACTGGAAACAAATCGTGCATCTCCCTAAAATTTGTAAACAATGGCCTTATTTGCCTAGAATACCAACTGTGCCTGTTGACATGAATCATCAGCCATCACGTACGCTTAACCGAATTTCTTTTTTTGCCAATTAAATATGTTGATGATGACATGCAACATCGCATGTTTTTACTAGAGATTCAGGAGTGTGACTTATATCAAGACAAACGCCAGTTCTTTCTCACCTCGCAACTTTGTTGTCAGTGTCATTTTCGACGGATGCTGCTAGGTGTGAGTCAACATCAGGGATTAGGGCGAGTAGGTGGCCCTAAGGTTGACAGACGCCTCGTTTCTGTCAACGCATATGCTTTGAGGCGCATTCCTTTTTCATCATCCGCAGACAAAATTCCATGGCGCCGTTGGATATCGAGGCAGCGTAGCTCGTTTTTGATTCGGCTTGTTATGGCTTGTTATTAAAACGAGTTAGAGGACTAGCTCGGCTCGGCTCGCTAGTGAGTTTGAACTAGCTCATTTGGCTTGAGATCAAAAGAAAAACACATTTCTTTTACCATTGGCGCAGGGGATATTGTTGATTCAGTTATTGTCATATGAATTACTTGGACGGATGCTGACTCTAATTAAAAATTCAAATGAGTCAACATCAGGGATTAGGGCGAGTCATCGGCCCTATAGGTTGACAGTTACGCCTCGATTTCTGTAAAACGCATATGCTGAAAGAGGCTATGATTACGGTTTTTCATCATCCACCTTCCCTAGCGACAGACAAAATTCCATGGCGCCGTTGGATATCGAGGCAGCAATAGCTCGTTTTTGATTCGGCATTGTTATGGCTTGTTATTAAACGAGTTAGAGGAGCTAGCAGAGGCGACTTGGAGAGAGGCTCGCGGTGTGCTACGTGAGTTTGAGCCTAGATGGCATTTGGTTTGAGAACCAAAGTCCACGGCTGCCCTCCACATTTGATCGGGGTTTTACCACTGGGCGCGGATCTCGCGAAAGGGATATGGCGCCATGTCCTTGATTGTAGTTATTGGGGCTTGGTGTAAATTACTTGGCGGAGAAGGAAGGGACGCGACCAAGAATTAAAAAGCAAAATGAGCCAAGCTCGGCCACCTCGCCCGAATCGGGTTGAGCGGTCTGGACCCGAGTCAGACTAGCCGGATGTATATGAAATACGGCTTACCAACCGGTTTTTACGGGTTGTGACCGGACCACGTATAGGGTTAGCGAGTCGAGTGAGTTACGAGTTTTTCCTCTAGATCGAGCACTATGGCAGGATGCGCGAGAGTACGACGAACTCAACACCACCCACGCGGCACGTCCCTCGTGTCATCCGGACTAGCCGCCACGCGATGGCTCGTGGCTCCCTGATGGCAGGTTTTAGCAAGCAGTCACTTTTCAAAAAAAAAAAGTTCTCTAGCCTCTAGCGTTGTTAACTTGTGGATGTGCATAGGATCACTTTTGATCGGAGTAGTACATACTATTTTGGAGACACAATCAGGGCGTGTTTAGATGTAAAATTTTCTGGGTTTTAGCTACTGTAGCACTTTCGTTTGTATTTAGCAATTAGTGTCTAATTATAGACTAATTAGGTTTGAAAGTTTTGTCTCGCGATTTCTCACCTAACTGTGCAATTAGTTTTTTTTTCGTCTACATTTAGTACTCCATATATGTGCTGCAAGATTTGATGTGATAAATACTGTGCACAAATTTTTGGATCAGGCCCTCACACGACAGACCTTGAAAAGTCAACATCAAGATCAAGTGGGCGAGGCTCCGGAGTCGCGACTCGGGAGCGGCCAGTTCGAATTTGAATGCTGTGATGAGGCGCATCATTGCTACTCCGTGCTCGGCTCGAGATGGTGTGCTATTGTGGGCCAACACAATCCATGCATGTTTTGTTCCTGGGTTTCTGGGTTGTCGCCTTTTTGAAGATACACGGCCCACCTATGCTGATACTCCTGCTCCTGCATTTTAATAATAGCAAACATACCGTGCATTATATATTGCTCTTTAAGTCCAAAATCCATCTAATATGTCCAACAATAAAAAGCTATTATAACTACATTATAATTATATATCAAAAGCTGAAGCACAGAATTTTAAAGTCCACATTCACACCATAAAATTTTAGCAAAATTAAGTAAACTTTGTTAGAGGCTAGTCAATATGACTGTCCACTACTTTTGTGCCGACTGGTGTGACTAGATATATACGTGGACCCAGGTCGAAAGTCGGACCCTAGAATTAAATTTTTTCATTCATACCTTAAAACTTTAGCAAAATTAACTAAAATTTATATGAGATGATTCAATGACTAGTCGCTATTTGTGTAGATCGTTGTGACTAGGTATATAATTGAGCCCCATATCAAAAGACACGGAGCCTATAATTAAAAATCTCACGTTCACATAGCAAAAGGTTTTTGGAATATGATTACGTGCTACTTTGTGAAGACCGTGTCAACATATATATACATGGACCCCACGTCGACCTAAATCAATAACCACGCGTTCACACCTTAAAACTCAAATTACTAAAATTTATCAGAGATGACTCAGTACTATTGTTCGCTACTTTCTACAAATAAACTTAAAACTAGATATTAAAGGCTGATCTATCTCTCAACTAATCAAGTCCACATAAATCCGATAAATACTACTCCCTCGGTCTCCAAATAAATCATTTTCTAGAATCCATGTCAATTAATTTTTTTTAAGTTTGACTAACTTTATAGAAACGAGAAACAAAATATATGACACAAAATAAATATCTTATGAAAATATATTTTATCATAAATTTGATGATACTAATTTGATATATAAATCTTAACATTTTTTATCTAGAAATTTAGTCAAAGTTAAAAAATTTTGATTTAAGACAACTCTAGGAAACTATTTATTTCAGGGACAGAGGGAGTACAGTTTTTGAGTTAACGTACAAGGGTTTTTGGATTTCAATGAATCAAAAGATTAAGGTTTGGCAGGGGAATGGGCCGCTCCTCGGATAACGCATAAGATTTCACCTGTAGGGGCTGTTTGGAAGACAGGTATTAGGTCCAATACCTCTGTAATTTAGGGTGTGTTTGGTTACATGGATATCCATGTTTGGTTGGATGGACAAGTTAAATTTGGATATCCACAATAAGAAATATTCTAGGTAGATGCGGGATATCGTGGCCCTAAAAAATCTGGCGGATGAGGATATCCACATGTTGATTAGCGCATGTTTTTAGGTGACAATTAGAGTAGTATAGTGCTAATTAACGTATTTTATTTTTAATTAGCGATTATAATGATAAGATTAGTATCAGTGCATATTTATTAGTGTATAATTAGTTGTTATTATTTTTAAATAATAGATATAATTAGTTAAGTATTCTCATCACATGCAATCTTATCCATCCAACAAAACAGAAAAATAGCTCGCCCCATCTATCCAACTAAACAGATAACATGAATATTCATATCCCGAAATTCATAGATAGTCATATCCTATCCACCATTGTCCTCGAACAAACACACCCTTACATGCCCTAGTAATTTTCGGACGTGCCCCGGAAAACATTTCTTGGATATATGGTATTTAGAAAAAAGTTACTAGCGGTTTGTCTCATTCCAACCGGGAACTATCGGGCGTGGCTTGACAGGCGGCAGCGGTCTCCACTCTCCAGCGGTCCTACAGTGGCACGGCAGGCCCTGAGGGCGCGCAAGCGGGGCGGCCGCCCTGGCCCCAATCCCACATGCCCCATCCCAGGTATACGTTCAGTATGTAGCTATATCAGTATATGGCTTGGTTGGCTCATTAAGGCCCACGACAGGCTAGTATATTGGCGCTTGCGATTTGCTGCGATTGCAACTTCTCATCTCGGAACCAAATAGCAAATCCCGAACACAACGCAGCAACTGCGATGCGATCACCCAACTCAACGATGGCGCCGCGGTGGGCGGCCAACTCGGAGTGAGACTCCAACGAGGCGTATGTAGGTTCGTATGAACTATGTATGCACTGATATCCGAAGTCCCCCAAATCACCCCCAACGGGCATGCTAGCGCCTGGACGTCCGGATAGGACGCCCGCGTAGCCTGCCCCCGTGCGCTGATGCTGATTTTTATTCCCGCCCCACACGCACACCTGCCTTGTCGTAGTGCCCACACGTCCAGACGACTCGCCTTGCCACACAGCACGCCCTGTCCGCCTTGATTCGAAGCCGTCCGCCTCATCCCGTACGCCCACCCCGCCCTCGTTGCGACCCGACCGTCGGCCTCCAGCTCATCACGGCCCATTCTTCGGCGCCTGTGCTGTGCCACCATCACTCCCTACGCCTGTTGACTCTCCAAACAGTATAAAACACATGCAACATGAAATATTTGAATGCAACATCCATATGAAACGAATAAAACATTTAGAACATACACTTGCAACATATGTGTGAAATATATGCAACATCAGATAAGATACTTGTAACTTGTGACCATAAAAACATGTACTGCAACATAAGACTGAAACAACTGAAATATTTGGAACATATTCTTACAACATATATGTGTGAAACATGTGCAACATCCAGATCAGAACGCTGGCAACATACGTCTGGAACAAATTAAACACTTGCAACATGCGTCTGAAACACTTGCAATATGTGCAATATCACTAATCTACTTTTGCAACATCCATATGAAATAATTGCAACATACCTCAGAAACACTTGCAATATGTGCAACATCCCTGATCTACTTCTACAACATCCATATAAAACAATTACAATATATCTCTAAAACACTTAACATACGCTTGCAACATATGCTTCCATCGCAACACCTCCTTGTTGAAGTCGTGCTTCACCGTGGCTATGGCGTTGTTCATGTGTTTTTTTTTTTTATCAAAATACCCCAAAAATTTCGACCGGCCCAGCGGTGGCGAAACGAGATGCAGCAACGGGATGCGCACAGCCGAGAGCTACGGGCTCCTTGAGGGCCACACCTTCCCTCCCGTCGGCAAGCTGGTGAGCTCCCATGGCGATGCCTCGCTTAGCGACGGCGGCAGCTTGTGGTATTCCTCGCCTGGATGCAGCGAGGGCGATGGTGGCGGGGATGTCTCCAGACTCCAGAGGGCAGAGACGGAGGAGTAGGCACCGGCGGCAGCGGCGTCCGTGGCATGGATGCTTCGCTGGGCAAGCAGGCACGGACGGCGGCAGCAGCCTCTCTGGACGCCATGGTCCAGGGCCGATGCCTCGCGTGGTCGTTGGACGCCAAGGAAGGGATGCGGAGCGGGGAGGACAGGAGTTGCCGTTGCCGTGTTCCATTGGCTATGTTTAGCCAAACAATAATTTACATGGGAACGATATTCCGGTTGTTTCCTCGTGCACAAGAAATTACATCCGAAAGCAAATTGCAGGTGAAATAATTTATAAAACTTCCAAACAGGGCCTAAGGCATAAGATTACAGAAAGATTATAGGTGGCCCACTATCAAATGAACATACCATTAGATCTAAAGAGAATAAATCATCCAACGGTTCAAATATATAGAAGGTGGGTATGAAATTTTGGATGACAACTATTTTTCAATTCTTTAGCTCTTTTGTACTAGTAGACTAGAATAGAATAGATATAGATACAGTTGCATATGCAAAACAGCAAATCAACGCGGAAGTAACTTTCACGTACGTCAGGATCCAAAACCTGGGCCATGCTTGTTGATTTTGAATCAATTAACATAATTACTATATATAATTATAAATTTTATAGAAATATTAAATGCACTTTTGAAAATGGCCCCACAGGCCACAGCTGTACCTGGATCCGCCACTGTTTAACGTCAGCGACGACTCAAAGGAGTCAAGGTGCTAAGTCTTCGCTTTGTGCACAGCAAATGGAAATTGCGTGGGACATGGACAAAGGTGTCCCATGGACAAAAGCGTGGCGAATACCGAGCCCAGTGGAAGAGAAATTTCATGTGACCTTCTTGATGGCTTGTGAACAAGCAGAAACTGTCGAGCACACTGGAAGCGAAATTTCGTGGTGACCTCCTTGATGGCTTGTCTGCAGGCAACAAACTCTCGCCCAACTCTGTATAAATGGATGTCCCAGCTGCTGGTAAGAACTCGCACGAAGCAAGCAAGCCTTGGCGCCAGGATACTTCAATTCATGGACTATGGCAAACCGCTCGTGAAGAGTGAGCTCAAACTCTCCCTAAATCCTCCTCCTTGCGCCGAAGACAACCCCACTCCCACCGGAGCCTCCTCCGATGGCTCGTCATCCTGCGCCTCGGCCGTTGCCCTGTCCTTTCTCGGGCTCAACAGCGTGATAGCCATCTACCACTCGAGACACGATCCCCGGTCCATACTATTTGTAACCGTCTCCTTCTTTTGCGTCGTCTTTCTCTTCCACCTGCTTCGTGTGTTCGAGAGAATGCCCCCGGAATCGCCCAGGAGGTTGCAGGTGAAGGCGGCAGTATGGGCCCTCACCACCACCCTGACGGTCATGTTTTCCGGCAGAGTTGCCCCGTTGATGCCTGCGCCTGTCGCCGCCGTCGTGTGGTCGATGGCCGCGGTGACCATCCTTGCGGGCTTCTACTTGTTCTTCGTATGCCCGGACGCCGCCTCCACCGCCGCCGACGAGAAGCCGGCCTGCAAGGTTGGCGAAGGCCCGTAGATAGTTTCTGTGTGGACTCCCTCGGAGATTTCACGATGGAAGTATCTATGTCCTATCAGACGTGGTGTAGAGTCTGGCTTTTGTATTTGTTACAAATATATTGTAAGGAACGATCTCAACCCAACCACATATTCGGAGTTGTTAGGTATATTAGGCAATCCTCGAACGGTCAAAACACGACATGTGGACATGCGAGCCGAGCCATCCAGAGTCATAGCGCGATGCGGGACACGCGTGATGCGAGGATAGGATATCCGCACGGACTGCAGTGCGGTCCATCCGCATGTAATTTTTTCCCGTCAAAACACGCTCACACATGTTCACACGTCCTCGGGCGTTCCCGCGACCTCGGACGTGCGCACGTCACACGTCTCGGTGATTGGCGAACAGATGTGTATCTTTTTTTTTGAACTAAAATTTTATTAAAACCTAAGTAACATCGTTACAAGAGGGTAAGACAACCCACTTTTGAAAACAAGAAAAAAAGTCCGACACTTCCTAGACTTAATAGCAAAATGCACCAACTCATGAGCCAAATTATTCTAGAATGTGTATCTTCGAACTTTCTCTCCTCCTGTATAAACACTACTACATAGTTGACAATCATCGCCGTCACTTTCGCTGTTGGTTTGCTGCACACTGACGGTGATACTCATCACCACCAACCACTGGTTTGTATTACGATCCGTTGGTGAAATGATTTTTATTGCCGGTTATGTTACAAATAATTGGTAAAAATGGGGGCGATTATCACCGCTGGTTTGTGTTACCAACCGACGGTGATGGGTCGATCCATTTTCACTGCCGGAACTGACGGTGAAAATCACTTTCATCAACGGTTTGAGTTATGCTGCAGCACAATAAAATTCATAACTTTTTTCAAACAAAGCTGTATGAAAACAAACTTATATCAAAGAGATATACAACTTTGTAGTTGATGACTTTTTCATTTGAAATCATTTACGGTCCCAGAATTCTGTTTGAAGCTCTCGTATTTTAAAATTCATTTTTTTTGAATTGCACAAACAACCTCATATGAAAAAAATGATCAAACGCAAAATTTTAGATCTCTATGTGATCTATAACTTTATAGATGACAATTTTTTCATTAGAAATAATTTAGGGTCTCAAATTTGTATATGAAGTTCTAAAATTTAAAATTCAAAATTTTCATACGACTTTGGATGGAAAATCGACCAAAACTAAAGTTGTGGCTCTCAATGATAACTAGAACTTTGTAGTTGATGACCTTTTCATTTGAAATCATTTGAGGTCCCAAAAGTATGACTGAAGTTCCCATACTTTTAAATTCAAATCGTTCAAACGACCTTGGATAGCAAAACGACCAACATCAAAGATGTAGATCTCAATTGACCAACATCAAAGATGTAGATCTCAATTTTTTTAGTTGATGACCTTTTCATCTGAAGTCTTTTAGGGTCCTAAATATTCATTTGAAAATCCTCAGAAGTGAAACCAAGAGAATGAATATGCATATAGATACATGCGACTTAGGGGTGGAGTGGTTAGACTAGCTACACGCGAGGACACATGTCTTATGTTTGAATCCCACCACCGCGTGGCGCGGAGATTTTTGCATGAAAAATCGCGTGACTTTTGATTTACGTGTGACCGTGCAACTGGCTGGTGGGGCCTCCCGGGATTGAATAAAAATTTTTAGCTATTTTTGACCCAATTTTGAAATTTATGGAAATCCTAATCACCGCTGGCCGATAACACGAACCGATGGTGATAAGACTATCATCACTGCTGGTAAGGTTGGACAAAAAATACCGAGAACCGAACAAAAAATACCGAGATCGAATTTTTCGGTACCCAATTCGGTTCCTAATTCTCGGGTATATTCGGTTCTTTACCTCAGGAAACCAAATTTATAGAACTATATGAAATGGGCTGAATTTGAGTGTTGTTATGCTATTGATTGTATTATTGTAGACTATTATATTATGTATTTATGGTGTTAGACTCTTATAGTCTTGTGGACTTTTATATGTATGTATTTGGCACTATTATTCTCTACGAAATCACATTAAAATTATGTAAAAATGACCTTTTGAACCTCTGTGATCAGTTTGGTATTTTTTCAGTAAATACTAAAACCGAACCGAAAATACCGAAACCGAATTTTCTCGGTACCGATTTTTGGAAAGAACTGATCAATACCTATTTTCTGAGGAACCAAATTTCTATAAGAACCGAAGCACTGTACCGATCGGTTTGGTAATACCGAATGCCCAGGCCTAACTACCGGTGACGACCATTCTTATCACCAATGGCTTTCGTCGCTGAGGGGCCAAAACCAGCGGTGATGAGGGGTTTGGAACCGGTGGTGATGAAGATTCTGTAGTAGTGAAATATCAGGCTATGATCAATGATTCATTTTATTCTGCTGTTTTCTTTTACATTACTTGCATTACTCACGTTCTCAGCACACAGCTCGTCTCTCGCTCGCTTCTCTCGAAAGACAAAACAATAAGCATCATCAAACGACAAGGAGCAAGAAGGCTGCCCAAGGTACAATGCCGCCCCAATGTTTCGTGCCTCCGACAACCCTTATTCTCCAACTGGTCATGTTGGCATATCACCGTGCCGTTCGCATTGTCTTCCTTCTCACTAATCATCGGATCCAAGCGGAACTCCTTCACACACTTCGTGAGCTTCTCGGTGAAGGCCAAGGCCTTGGCCTGAGGATGCGTGTTGGAGGACGTTATAACCACCACTATCGTCGCGCTTTCAATGACACAGTGGTCGCTGCACCATCGTCCCAGCGACCTTAGGTGCCGTTTTGCTCCGTGCACGAATCGGTGCCGCCGTTGTGCCCCATGCACGGCTTGCCTCCTGCTCCGGACAATACTAGCCTATCCAACTAGGTACCACAGCCGCTGAACATCGAGTCGGCGCTTCCAACATCGACACCATCTCCGTTGAGAGTGGGATTGAGGAGGGTTCGCGGTCCCTCTCCGACCCCAGCACCTCTAGCGAAATTGGCGGCGCGAATATCACCTCCAACGCGCTTGTTGTGGTATGTGCATGCAAGTTCTTCAAGCAGCTTTGAACATAATTGCTCCTACTCTGTTCGAGCTGTGTGATAATAAAAATGCAACTGTAGCTCAGGTTAAAAGTAGGGAAGTGATCCTACAGTTTAGAAGGTGGCTAAATGATGATCTGGCAAGGTGTTGGGTAAAAACCTGGGAGGATGTAGAGAACTTTTGCTTAGTAAGTGAACCTGATAGGATTTTTTGGAAACTTGAAAAAAATGAAAATTTTTCAGTTAAGTCGGTTTATAATGGGTTAACAAGAAATGAGTCTGGTCTTTATCATAAAAGAATTTGGAAAGATAAAATACCCCCCAAAACGAATTTTTTCTTGTGGTTGTTAACTAATGATGCAGTTTTAACTAAAGACAATTTGGTCAAAAGAAAGTGGAATGGAGATACCAGTTGTGCGTTTTGTGATTCTGCTGAAAATATATCTCATCTTTTTTCTAGTGTCCTATTGCACGAGTAATTTGGTCTATTGTGGCAAAATGCTTTGGTGCTAATAACATTCCTAACAGTTTGCTTCAAAGTTGGCAGTGGTGTGAAACCTGGCTTCCCTATGGCAAAAAAGTTCATCCCTGGGGATTGCAACAATATGTTGGGCAATTTGGAAGAACCGAAACAAGGCCTGTTTTGAGAAAAAGTCATTAAAAATCCATTAGAAATAATTTGGCATGCATATGCTTTAATGAAATATTGGGCAGGGTTGTTTGCTGAGATTGATAAGGAGCAGCTGGAGAAGGGCGTGGCCACAATGTTGAAGGCGGCGAAAGAGCTCTTAGCTACCCAGCAAAGATGGGACGGTGAAGGACGGCAACTGGAGTTCGGCAATCAACAGAAGAAGAACAACAACAATGAAAATTCTGCTTAACTCATCTGGTCCTCTACAGATCTAATCGATGGCTCAAGCTAGTGGTTCTGATAGTTTATTTCTCTCGTCAGTTCTGTCTGTTTTCAGTTACCTACAGGTTTTGTAATCCCCATATGTATGGGTGATGATGGTCTTATACTTGGTTGGTTTTCTAGAGTAGTGGGTTGCTTTGTTAGTCTCTGAACCGAGCTAAGTGCTGTTGGTCTGTTATGTCTAGCTGATCAGATGCTCGTTTACACCAAAATTTAGGAAGAAGAACGCAGGAATTCGAAGCTTCCAAGATTGTGTCATCAAGAAATCGATTGCATAAGGATCGATATCAGCTGATTCAGATGCGGCACTGGAATCGGCTCTCTTCAGATGACGTCAGCAGATAACGACAATAAGCTACGGTTGGCGTCGGGAAAGACATGTCGGACTCTATAAAAAGGAAAAGATTAGGGTTTAAGTTATTTTAAATTAGGAATATTTTCTCTTATACCAAAGATTATAATGACTCGTACTTGAGTAGGATTTATACTTAAATTCCGGGTATAAATATCGGACCCCGGCTATTGTAAAAAGACATCCAATCAATCAATACCTATTACTTTTTTCGGTTCCGTGCCAACCCTTAGGAGTAGGAGTAGTGTAGATCTCGACGAGTTCTTCAACAATCAGGGCTGTATCGGTCTGACTGACCTCCGGCTTGTCTGTAAGTACCGTTATGGTCTATACTTCTGTTTGTAAGACTGCATCGGTTAAGTTCAACCTCCACTGTGAGCTCTAGTATAAGCTAGTTATCGATCCTTATCTAGTTCAAATACGGCTGCATCGGTTAAGTTCGACTTCCACTGCTCGAATTAGATTAAGGTCAAGTCATCGGCTCTACCTAAGGTTGACATCATTCTGGTAGATTTATTAAGTTACCGATCTTGCTGATGTTCTTATTGTCATTAGTTTCAGCAACATCAACCTACCCAATCAAGATCGAACTAGATCGGCCTCACATCCTTTTAGTCCCTCGTTTATTTTGCCACATTGCGATGATTCTTACTTTAAACGACGGATTACGTTTCATCGGTTGTCTT